AACTCACATCTGATCCCTGAATGCAACCCCTGGAGGTGCATTCTCCAGAATTAGACCAAGGACCCCAAAGAGGCTTTTCCTGCTGTCCGAGCTTCTCTAGGACTCATTTGGTTTGGGGATCTCCCCTTTTGGCTCTCTCAGGGGAATAGGCTTCAAGACGTTCTCTTAGTAACTCCGGTTACACTTGAAGTTTGTTTTCCCTTGATTTACAGCCAGCTACTAGATGTGATTAATGACTAGAAATTTTTTTTTCCCCTGTACCTGTCTCATGGCCAAAGGAATTTTAAAACAAGGCTTTCATGTCTCTCGTTTCATTTGTCTACGTGTTTATGTTTGTCTACCTCCAGAAAAAATTATTAAAATTGGCTTTTATGAAAAGAGCTGTTTGATTTAAGCACTTAATATAAATTAAGAAATACAACATACTTTTCAGGATTACATGATCTAGGAAATTATTTAATGTGAAAACTGACTAATTTGGGGGGATTTTATTGGGGTTTATAAAAATAAGTTTATGACTATCTCTGTTACCTACTTTTAGCTTTTTAATACAGGGAAACTCAAGATGTTTGGAGCTGTAATAAAAATGTCTTATGCTCTATTAAGGTAATACATGTTTCTAAGAATTATATAATATTTTGCCTATATTTCTCGAAGTTATAAAATTATTCACAAATTCGAGTTTTGGTTGTCACTAAAATTAGTATTTCTAAGGGTTAAAAATTCAGATCAAAAAATAGAGGAAAAAATGGAGAATTTGGCTTTTATGTATTAAGCTGGCTAAAATCAAGTTGTTATGAGTTTTTTAAAATTAAGCTTTAATCTCAACAGCGTATTTACATAAAGCAAAAACTTAATGTTATGTCTCCTATTTTACTGGCATGCTTTAAATAAGAAATTATAAAATATCACAAAAGTATACTCCTCATCACCAGGTCTTTCATTATGTAAGTACACTGAATTGTCTTAATATTGAAAAAACTAAAATTTTGTTTTAACAACTCTGACTTTCTGCATTTGCTGGCAAAAATCTTTGTCACTTTGACTAAGTGAATAATTTTGAAGTATGTTATCTATAATTTTTACTTGGAAAATATTTTAAAACTTTTGATATGTTTGACAAAGTCCCCAAGATTCAAAATTTAAGGAGAATCACCTTCTTGACCTGTGATATTTTTAAGAACTTCAGAGTTTTTCAGAAGGATCCCTGAAACGCCTCAATGACTTGTTTTCTCTCTTGATAAAAGGGGGAAGTAAAAAAAAGGAAAAAAGCCTATTTAGTATGTTAAGTTACACAGGTAACATTGTCAAACACATGATGCTAAAGCCTTTGATTATATTTAGAATAAGGAGCATATTTTGGTAGCAGAGCTTATGGGAAACACTCTTGTTGAATGTCTTCAGGTAAGAAGAAATGTCTTTAGATAAGGAAGAATATAAAAGACATACATAGGTTTTATTGGTAAAGAAAGAAATAAGAAAATAATTTTTTCTACAATAAAATGATTGTTTCAAAATGAGGAGAGAAAAGATGGGACAAAAACAGGACGATCTATGTCAGTTAAGAAAGGCCGTGCATATTGCAAAAGGTGTGCATATATTACAGAAGGTTCATGGGAGAGGGATCTTAAGATGTATATGAACTCTAACTATGGCCATTTTTAAGTCTTTTGTCATTTACAGGCAATTATTGTTTTACTCTGGCGCTTTTATAATACAAAAATGTTTGTACAAAGATGTTTCCTTTTCAGAGAGATTCACAGAGAAAATTATAAAACACCAAATTTCAGGCACTCTTAACTAATCCATGTGTGACTGAACAAAGGCATTAACTCCAAGATGTTTCTCAGCTGGTGATGTCAGGCCCAATAAAGGTACCAAGGTTAGCACAGGCCAAGTGATTGAACACAGTACCCGCTAACACTTCGTGGTTCTTTAACTTCTTCAGCTAACTGCCCTCAGGTATTGCCTCTTGATTCAGATCTGTTCTCCAAACTGAACATTTTTGGCTTTTATAAATCTTTGTTTATTCTGCATAGCTCAATGGTATAAAGACACCTCTCTGGTAAATGTTGCTCGATGTTTTGCAATGATCACTAAAGCTTATAAAATTCCATACAAGAAATCACAGATGTTTAAGAATACTTTTCCTTCAACAGGTATTACCATGCCCTCCACTGAGATATTAGACAGGAAAATTGCTCTTGAAAACATTCTATCTAAGCGAGGTAAGGTTTGCTCTGTTGTTAATACCTCTTAAACTTGGATAAAACACCTCTGAGAGAATAAAATCCAGGCCTTGCCCTGAAAGAAACATGACTATAAAGCCTTTCTGTGTTCTGATATCCTTGTTGCTCAAATGTGGCCTGTATTTCTTAAGGAAAGAACAACTTTCCCTCCTACGTGGGACATGATATACTGGGAATGGGCCTTCCTGCCCTCAGGGACCAAAAATGGCATGAAACACTCAAACTAAACCATCTGATAATAGAGGAACAATGATGCTTTTAATAACTGATCAGTGCTGTTTTCTGATAATTGATCAGGAATACTTTTCAAGGAAAAATCTTGATTAAAAGAGGAAAAATATAAATAACAATATAAATGGCGCCACTTTTAAAATAGAGCCAGAGCTGTCATACCAGAGTAACCAATTTACATGTAATGTCAAAAAGAGGAATAGGTCCTGGCCAGGTAGCCTAGTTGGTTAGACTCTCATCCCCAATATGCCAAGGTTGTGGGATGGTTCCCAGTCAGGGCACATGTAAGAATCAATCAATGAATGCATAAATAAGTGGAGAAACAAATCAATTGTTTTTTTCTTTTCCTCTCTCTCCAAAGTCAATTTTTAAAAAATAAATAGGACATAATTGCTGGAGTGGTTTTAATTGTGGAGACGATTTTAGGGTTGGCAAGAGGAACTCTGTAAAATTGACCCTCCCCAACATAACTTGGTTTCTCCCCTTCCTAGGATTCCTTGCAGCTATAATCTTACTGGTAATAGTTGTTAGCCAATTAGGAAAGGTAACTGATAACTTAAATAAAAATGCTAATCTGATTTTGCCCACACTCAAAGATACTAAACTACACCCATACAATCTAGGGAACTGGGTATATTTAAAAACCTGAAACTCAGGATCCCCACAAGATCAACTGAGCAACTCATTCTTTTCTTAAACTATAAAATGTAGCTTCCTGGATCCATCATTCTCGAGTGAAGTCTGCTATTCTTCCTAGTGAGAATAAAGAACCAGATCCACAGTACTCCCTGTCTGATCTCAAGCTGCTACAAGATAAATAACGTTCAATAAGTCTGTTCTTAGTCCTAACAGTTTTTTCCACATCCTATCTGTTTATGTACTCCTGTTCTTAGGAATCCCAGAACCTATGGCACCCCAAGACTTTCATCACTCAAGCAGCCAGAGAATTTTACTTCTCTAATTCAAAGACTTCCTCCATCCATCTTCAGCAGGAAGCAGTTACAGAAGTATGACCCCATGCCCATTCCCTCAAGAATGAGGAATAAAAAAACTCTCAGGGGGGAATCCTTAGATAGGACAAGGGTCTCAAGGCCTGAGCAGTTGTTACTAAATGCTATTCTTGCTAAATGTTAAAATACAGCACAGTATTTTATAGATGCAGCAGTAACCTAAGAGGTTGACAGGAACCCAGCCTGATGTAAAGAAGAAATCAACATGTAATTAACCACATCTGGATACAAGCAATGGCTAAGCCTCCTTCCTGGAGACAAAGCTTTGGATGTGAACCCCATTTCCTTTACTTGCTGCAAGGAAATAAAACTACCCAATGATGACCAGTTCTCATTCTTGAATAAAATACCCGAAGGTGGGGAACCCTTGAGTTCAGTAACAGAAAGAAGGACTTTTAAGACAGCCAAAGTGGCTGATGGGCAGAGAGCAAGGAGAGTGTCATGTCCAATGAGGCTGTTGAAGCAGTAGTGTCCAGACCATGCAGACCATGTTGTTTTGCCCTTATCCTAAGAGCAACAGAAAGCCATGGAAGATTTTTAAGTATGTGGTTGGCAGAGGAAGGAGGGAGGAAATGAACATGATTAGATTTGCATTTTTAAAGATTATACTCCCCCAGTGTGAAAAAGAGACAGTGTGGGAGGAGGGAAAAAAGGGGACAATGGAGTGTTAGGGTATAAAGTGTAGACCAATAAGGAGACTATTGTAAAAATCCATTAGAGATGATGATAGCTTGGTCCAAGGTGGAAATGGGAAAAAAAGTGGAGAGGTTACCAATATATTTAGACAAGTAAACATGACTTGATTTGGGGAATGAGAGAAAGGAAAACACTCAGTTCTTCTGGGCCTCAAGTCTTCATCTGTGAAACAGGACTGTTGATACTCCATCTGTATAAATATCTATCTTGCAATCTGCTGTGGTAAGAATATGAAATAATATAAATATTATGAACTTAACGCAAACCTGACATGTAATACATGCTATTTTAAAAAATCGCTATTACTATTATTATTTTCATCCCATGGAATAGCAACAACTTGTAGAGGCTGAACCCCAAAAGTAGATAATAAGATTGCAGTTAAAATTTTCATATCGGCTGTGCTGAAGATATATAACATTATCAACGGGCCAGAGACAACTGTCCAAATAAACACATCTGATCTCAGTCCTCAGGAATCACTACCAAAGAGAAAGCACAGCTGGAATAATCACAGTCATCTGAGAGTCCGGTAAACTGAGGCACAAGGGTAGCTACAGAGTTACCCAGGGTATTAGATGCACAACAAATAAACGGATGTTTTCCGTCTGTGAGCTGATCCAACAGGACTAGGCCTGCATCCTGAGCGACACGAATTTATAACCCCCAGTATCTCTGGCTCCCTTGCTGAGAAGGCCCTTTCGTGCCGTAGCTTCAGACCGCGCGTCTGCTCGCCATCCAGCCAAGTCCTTCCGGTTCTCTGCCCCTAGCTACGAGTGCACGAAGGATCCCAGACTCCCGAGGCCCCACACACCTTAGCTTCGCGTGCCCGTTCCTCGGCGGTCGGAGTCCGCTTCATGCTGCCGCTACAATCTTCTTCGCCACTGCCAGTCTTGTAGACTCTCTTGCTGTGGACCCCGCCTCCTGCGTGTAGTTCTCTCGATAGCCTCCTCCCATCCACCGCTGTTCTGTCCCAGAGCCTCAAGAACTACCACTCCCAGGATGCAAAGCGGCGACACCCGGAGCGCCTCGGGATTTGGAACGCTTGCATTTCCCAGGTCCACGGCGCAAAGAGCGGGCGGGTTAGGGACCGAGGAAAACTACATTTCCCAGGAGGCAATGGGGCCTGCCATGTTTCTCCCGTGCTTCTCTCGGCTGGCGGCGCCACACGCCGTCGGCGCTATAGCAACGGTTAGCTACCCGCCGGGAGAGAGTGGCGGTGAGTACTATGGGGGAGAAGAGGGCAATAGAGGTGCTCGACTTCTAACCTGCAGCACCGTCCGGGGTCGTGGGGTCGGCTCTACGGCCTCTAGAAGGCCCTGGAGTTCTCGCGTGAAAAGTATCCCAGCACGAGGCACCCCCACACCATCAGGCCCGAACCACAGCCCCGCCCATTACCCCCACGCCCAGCACCGGTTTGAAAATTTATATCCCGACCTAAATCCTATCTGATGAGAGTTGACGGTAATTGTAGAGCTTCTCCAAGTCCTTCAAGCGGAAGGTTACGTAAACACAGTTCGCTTATTTGACCTGGCTTAGAAGTTGGTTAGTACACGCTTAAGCCTCCCGAGTGGCCAATTATTTATGTCTAGTGATCTGTTTATCATCTTCTTACCCCATAGCCTATTAACTGCGTAAAGGCAGGGACTTTGTTTACCATTTTGGTCTCAGTGCCAGATATTCACTTATTCATTCAGTAAATATTAATGCTGGTGCCCACCTTGTGCGAGACACTTGTACCGGACCATCTGTGAACAGGGCAGATGCCCATCTCAAGGTGCTCATTCGTACTTTATTAGTGAAGACAAACTAGTAATCAGCTAGTAAACAAACATAATAATTTCAGATAGAGAAGATTGTTGTAACAGAAATAAACAGTGATGAATTTGGAAGGAAGAGTACTCTAACAGGGTGATCGGGAATGTGACACCTAGGCCCCAAAGAATAAGGATCCAGCGAAGGCAAAGGCCTCGGGCAAGGCAAGAGTACCCTGGATTGGGGGGACCCTAAAGGACAACAGTGAGAGCAAGGAGGGGTAGCAGGAGATGGCGTTCGAGAGACATTACAGCATTCCACAGGGCTTCTCAACCTCATTAGCATTTGGGGCCAGGTAATTGTTGCAATTCCTGGGCACTGTAGGATGTTTAGCATCATCTATGAGCTCTAGGTGCGGGTAACACTCCCTCTTCCTAGTAGTGACAATGAAAAGTAAGACTAGGCAGCGACTTCTTAGATGAGTGATCTTGGGCAAGTTTCTTAAGCTGTATCTCCATTGCTTCATTTGTATAGTAGAAATCATTTGAGTAACAACCTCATGAGGATATTTTGAGATATTTGATTCATTCATATAAGCAGAGCACTTAGAAGAGTGCCTGGCATATTTTAGTAAGCATCCAATAAATGCTAACACCATCATCATTATTGTTATCTTATAAAAGCTACCATGACTCTATCATGGAAAAGTTACCTTTTTACAAGGGTCCTGTGTTGAAACTGCCTGATAATTTGGTTCCTGAGGTTGACCTCTTCTGTAGCACTGTTTCCAGAACAAGATGACCACCGAGGCACATGTCGGTTAGCTATTTATGTCACAGAAAAATGTACTGGTTCTCAACCCTTGATGAGTGCATAAATGTTATGAACCCTCTCTCTAAAAGATATTGCACATACACTTAAGCACACAAGATTTTATAAGCCATCTTTGGGTTCACAGACCCTGAAGCTCCATGAACACCATTCATTCATTATAACCATTTAGTGAGTGTCTGCTATGTGCCCAGCTATATGCCAGCCTCTGAGAATACAGAGGAGAACAAAGCCAATAAGCTTGCTACTTTCTAGGACCAACCTATTAGAAATTGAGAACCTCTGCCCTAGGGTGTCTCCATTGGCAATTTGCATTTGGCTTTCAGAGTAGATTGAAATGGAAAGTCTTCTTTTTTTTTTTCTTCCCAGCATACTAGACATTGCACGGACCACTCACATCCGCATACATAACTAAGCTGCTGTGATGAATCTGTAAAGAACAGAAACTCTAAAATTTCCAGAACTCACTGGATAGACTATGTCGAAGGAGGAAGCCCTGGGACCTAGACCTCATGGCAACAAAGACAGGACACAACAAAACCCAACCCATTTAGTGTATTTATGAAACCTGTTTTGCAAAACTTGGAACTACCCACTCATTTGTGTGTCAAGCTAAAAATTAACATTCAAGCAATAATGGCATCCCAGGCAAATGTGCTAAAAGCCTTTAATTTACCCTGTCACTTACCCTTAGCATAACTCTCTGAGATTGGTATTATTTTTTCCATTTTTAGATTAAGGAACTGCAACTCAGAGAGATTAGGTGACTTGACCAGCTACTAGGTAATAGAACAACCATTTGAATCAAGTTCCTGACTTGAGTTTTTTCCAAGGTACCTGCTTTCTTTTGGGGACAGAGAAGGAGATGATGGATGGAGAGGAGGTGCTTCTAAAATTAGGGGAGTTTGTTCTTGTTTCAGATAGAGGAATAAGAGGAAGAGAGAAGGAAGAATGATCATCTTACCTCATTTCCTAAGCAAACTATAGGAAATATACTGTTGAAAGGAACACTGTCTCCATAATTCAATGTAGTATTACTTTTAAAATCGCTTTCATCTTCTTCAGGCTGCACATGTGGGCAATAAGATGTCCATTAAAGTTATAGTTCCTTATTCCTTTTATTTGGTTCATTCCATTGCATAGTTAATGTTATAAGTTGGAAAGATTTTATTTGAATTTTCTTTTCTCCGCAGATAGGCCATGTCTGGTCCAACTGATGAGACTGCAGGAGACCTGCCTGTGAAAGATATAGGCCCAAACCTCTTTGGAGTGGGAGGGTTACAAGGTATGGCCAGCTGTTACTTATTATAGTTATGAACTTTGATCAGTAACTTCTTTACTTTTAAAGTATTTTTGATATTAATACAAATGAAGCCATTTAAGTAACTATATAGCTCTTGATTGGACTAAACAAGAGGACGGAGTGTTTAGAACAACATATGGTATTTTACTGCATGCATCAATTATCAACAGCTCATAGAAAATGTAAAATCCCCCTCTGTTCTGATAAAGAATTGTTATAAATCATCTTTTTAAAATTCCACACATCAGTAGAAACTACAGAGAGTATCAAGCCTCCAAACCGAATTGCCTGGCTTAAATCACATTCACCATTAAAATGTTTCTTTATGTTTAAATTTTGTATGGGAGGAAATGCCGTATTTAAAATATTTTATCTTTCAAGTAGAGTCTCTCAAAATGGTTTGTTTATCCAAGTGATACTGACTTTGATTTATCAAATTAATATACATTAAAGGTTTTCTTTATCCTTTTATATCTTAGCGATTGCTATAGATCGCAAAAGCATTGTCAAATTAAGGAAGAAAAGCACAGCTTAAAGGAACAATTTAGACTATAGAGCGATGTTTTTCTTCGTACGCACAGTGTGCCAGCCACGCAGTCGTGCCACTGCATTTGCCACTGAAAAGGCTGTGATGGAAAATGTATTCCACTAAGGTATCTTCTTGCACCTGTTAAGCAGAAGACTGCAGGCGGCCACCTTCAGCTACCACAGAAAGGGGATCTGTGGAATAGGGGAAAGGGCATTCACTGGAAAAGATAAATTCGGTTATACAGCTTTTATTGTTAAAAGTAAAAAATTTGTATAAGTTTTGCGTTAGATTTTGGGCAGAGTATCAGGGATTCAAATACAAATAAATTTTAAGTTTGCAAAGCTATTTATTGGGGTTTGATACTTTAAGTTCAGTTCTTGCCCCCAGTTACCCACCAAAGGGTGTAAATCTTGGTCCATTTGTTCTTTGGGAGGATTGTTGAAAATCTACCAATTTCTCAGTGATATGGAAAATACCAGACTTAAGCATATGTAAGAAATGTTATACGCACATGCTAAAAGGTATATAAGTTCTTTTAAAATATTTAAGGTAGATTATAAATAATTTGTGAAGGGTTTTTTCTTGTTTGGTCTTACAAATTTTATAGTTTATTTTCTATAACCCAACACTCATAGCTCAGGAAAATATACGTAATCATATTATGTTTACTAGATTATTGTTAAAACTCTTTGTAAAAAAAAATACTTTCGATTTAGTTTTTCTCAACATACAGCATATAAATCAAAAAGCCTTTATGGAATCAAAGTCCCAGCTACATCTTAAAAAATGGTTATTTGAATACATTTTTGAGTGGGTACTTTTATTATTCCGATCCTTCAATATTGCGTATGTAGCGTCAACAGCAAATGTTTTTATTCTCCCCTCCAGTCAGCAATGCGAGCAATGCCATGGTTCTTTCTAAAGCAGTCTTAACTGTAGGTCACAGAGGGAGAAATCTGAGATGGGTGCATCAGATTTTATATTAATATTAACAGTTACCATTTTTAGAGACTACTTTAAGTCACCCCGCGGTCCATGACCTTGGCGTTTTTGCAGAAACCTCAGCAACACGGACGATGAAGTCTCACCAGGCCGTGTCGCGGATCGGCCGGGAGGAGCTGGAAGACAGATTTCTGCGCTTGCATGATGAGAACATTTTACTGAAGCAGCATGCCCGCAAGCAAGAGGATAAAATTAAAAGGTTATGATAAAAAGCTTTAAGCTTTTTTTCCTGACTCTGTAAAGTTTAGAGGATTTGCTTTTTTTATAAACTTAATTGAAAACTCCACCTTGAATCCTTTTTGTAGCAAGGCAGGTTGTAAATAAATACAATTTTTTTAAAAATGGAAACTTTTACAAACTAGAATAATAAACCAAAAAGATTATGAGTGTTTATTATGCCTGAAGTCGCTATTTGAAAGGAAGAGCTAATAGTGTCTGAGTGTATTGTATCTATAAATAACTTTGGGTTTATATTTATAGTTTAATAAGCAAACGGCCAGAGCATCTGCTTTTTAAATGTCTTGATTATAAAATGAAAGTTTAAAAAAGTAATTATCTATTTTAATGTGTTAAAATGCATATGTCCTTAAAATTTAGGTTTTACTAATGAAAACATGACTTCAATATCTGGAACATATTTAACTTTGAGTGGATTGGTCTAGAATCTGTATTTATTTCCAAGCCTCAACTGTTTCTGAAGAAACAGTGTCACTTTTGATATGCCTGCAAAAATTTCTGCAGAGATAATTTCTTAAGACTAGATATTCTTAAATCCTTTCTCGTGTAGAAACACTATGACTATCTTTTGAATGGGTAGCGTTAAAAACAAGAAGTGCATTCACATCTAGGAGCATGATCAGGTCTGCATTCATATTCATGTTCAAGGTCCAATGAAAAGGTAAAACAGCCAAGAAACAAAATAGGGGTTTTTTTCCTGCTTAGAATTTATTCTAAAGGGTGATTTTAGTTCACTTTCTGCCCTGCGGACTTTGTTTTAATGCCCCACTGACCTGCTGTATGTGAAGCTTTTACTTTGAGTTGGGTTTTTGGGTCACAATGATGTCTTTTCAAGACACGTGGCTCACTTGCCAGATTCCTTTTCTGACCAGCAACGCACACATGCCAGCCTGTCAGAATGAGGGATTTGGTCGATCACCGCTAAACGGTTCTTCTTCTTTGTAAGCGTAATGGGTCAGTAAAAGGATTGAATTCACAACCTTGACCTCCTTAGTAATTTGTCCTAGCCAGAAAATATAAAACAACTTAATAATGAGCCACGTAGTTTAATGGAAAAAGGACTGGGCTAGGAGTCAAGTTGTATGCATGTGTTCTATTTATCTCTCTGCCTCTAGCGTATGGTATGTTCAAGCCATTAACCTCCTGGGATTTTATTTTACTCAGACCTGAGAGTAATAATCTAATGACCGTTGTGACCCAAAGCTCTAAATTCCTTCTCAGTGTCACACCACTGACACTACCTAGATACCTAGGTAAAACTGCCTGTAAATTTATCCCTAAAACCTAATTAGTGTCACTTTAGTACAAATGTAGGTCTGATGAACCGCCTTTTCAAGTAAATACACAAACTTTACCCAATCACTTATGATTCATTAACATCATAAAATAAACAAATCAAAATTATTGCTATTACTGGAGAAAGTGGTGCAATCTTACGCTTCTTGACGAAGTTTACTTGGACATCTTTGAAGGAACTTAAAGCTACGCTATTGACGTGCTTTTCTTGCACTTTTTCACATTAAACCTGTCTTTTGTTTGTTCTGTTTATTTGGTTTTACTTTGTGTCTTTCTTTTGAATGTGATCTCTGGCTCTGTCAAAGTCTCCCTGTAACAGATATTCAGGCTGACATCTCACTTATGGCTACCATATTTCTAGGGATAAGCCATTGGGCGGGGCTCAGGATCCTCAACTCGTTCAAGGCCTACGAGGAGTGTGTGGCTCTATGGTGCTGTGATACCTGCCCTGATTTCCCAATGATATATCATTCTCTGGATTAGGTGGAAAAGGAACTAATCCATTGATTATTTTACTAGGGTGTTTGTGGTACTCTTGGATCTTGGTTTTTATTATCCTGGATCCCTTATAAAGCATGTTTAATGGATGTGCCTCAAGGGAAAGAGAAAACAATCTTAACTGATTATGTTATGCATTGCTCTCCCTGGTGCCACATGCTGTAGGCCGAGAAGCCAGAAGTGTAGATAGACATGTATTACTACTGCTTTTACAGAGGACTCCGCTTAGGGCAACAAAAGGTTGTTCTGTGACATCCCAAAGCTATTAAGGATTTTTTTTTTTTTATTTCACTTTTGTTCTCTTAAGTAAAAGCTTCTGTCCATAACCATGCAAAAATAAAGCAAACCCCGTTTAAAGAAAAATGAAGTGAGTTTTTATTTTCAATCTCCTGTCTGGGTCTTTATAAAAATAGATTCACTATAAACTAGAGTCAGCTATTGAAGATGTGCGACCAATTTTGTAAAGTCTTGAACTTGTGTCTCTCATCAAAGCCACCTTTTCTTTCTTGTCCTGCCAAGATTTTTCCATTCACTGTCAGGCATGTTTTCTGTACGTGTATATTACATCACCCCCATGTGCCCTTTCTGTCTTTTGTTCTGTCTAACCAGTTTTTATCAAAACTTAAAAGAATCAAAGGTACAAACTCCTGAGATGTCAAAAACACAATTTATGTATAAACCTAAAGGTAACATTAAAATAATACTTTCTGCAGCTAATTATTTTCTACCGTTAAACATACATGTTTCTTCAGCACTAAACAACATTTAATGGCACGTTTTGGTTTCTTTTGAATTTTTCATTGGGTTTTTTTATATGTGTGTATCTATGCATTCTAACACTTTTATATTTGTCGCATGTCTTAATCCTAGAGAAACTGAAAACAATATATCACCTAAATGCCGCACAGTCTTAACACACTTTTCAAAAGTTTTAACTTGCTGTGGCTTGCAGGTCTAACCCACCACATCCACAATCTGTAGCTACATTTAAGTGCATACAGCATTCCTACATAAGGTCATGCGTTAAAAATTGCATTTGAGGAACATATGGAGTAAATATGTGTCCTCTCTTTACTAACCTTAAATGATAAGCCTTAGGAAACTGTTATTTGTCAGTGCTATAAAGCAGATTGTTGCCCAGTGGTTTCAATTATCATCAAAGGATTCTTCACAGGCAGTAATAGTTACATCAAAACCTGAAATTTATTATTCAGGTTCTGCACTGAAGTCTTCACAGTGATTATGTTCCTTTCAACAGAATGCATTTTATGCTGACTTCTCACATTCCTTTTCATCTTTTTATTATTTCCCTAGAATGGCCACCAAGTTAATACGGCTAGTTAATGACAAGAAAAGATATGAGCGGGTCGGTGGCGGCCCCAAGCGGCTGGGACGAGATGTGGAAATGGAAGAAATGATTGAGCAGCTGCAAGAGAAAGTTCATGAGCTTGAAAGACAAAATGAAGTCCTCAAAAACAGACTAATTTCAGCCAAACAGCAACTTCAAATCCAGGGTTACAGGCAAACTCCTTACAATTATGTGCAATCTCGCGTAAACACTGGGCGCAGAAAAGCGAGTGAAAATGCAGGCTCACAGGACTGCCCCAGGAAAGGTAAAATAAAACTTCCATAAATCCTGCCCTTAAGGCTTCTAATAGGTCGTTTTACACACACGCGCACAGTTTTATTTCTGTATTGTTCATGTTTTTAAGTTCTTTAGAAAGAGAAAAATCACTTTTGGACTTGCTTTTTGATAAAATCATTAGTGTTAACATGAAGATCATTTTATTTTAGGATTGCTAGACACACTCAAATTTGTTTAGTAAACCATTGAACATAAATGTTCATTCTAACTAATGTGAGACATGTATGAAACTACATAAAGTACGAGTTGTTTAGTTTGAGTTGGTTTTGTTATATTATGGAAGCAAATCGCATTGCTGCAGGCAAATGGGGAAACTAGCTAGTTTGCTTGTATGTGATCACACTGAAGTTCTTCATCGAAAGACCTTCTGTAAAATCTGCAAAACTGTAGGTCTTTCTCATTGTGTGGAGGTGGCATGAGAGGGGATGTGCACACACCTAGGAGTTTAAAAAGTCGGGTTCTTGCTCCCTGACTTACTATCTGGGGACTTTGGACAAGTCTTCTAATCATTCTGAACTTGAGTTGTCTCTACATGTAAAATAAAAGTATTTAATCAAGTGATTACAAGGGCCTCTTCCACCTCCAAAAATTATTATAGGCCAATCACTTTCTTGATTTTGAAAATGAATCCTCTAAAACCTACCCAAGCTATAAAACAATTCAGTTGTGTAGGCAAGACTCATTATAGAAAGAACCTAAGTATTTCTAATACAGTTCCAATTCTCTCCACCCACAGACAAACTGTATTTATAATGAAGCAAAAAATCAGGAAATATTTTAGGTAACACATTTTTAATTTCAACTACTGGGAAAGGAAATAAAATTTTAGCTCTAATTGATCTTCATTTAAAATACACTTCACATAAAAACCAAACATTTTGGGGGACATAAAAAAATGATGTAAAACTTTCATTTCAATTCGTTGGAAAGAAAAAAATAGCATAGGAACAGAAAGGGAGATAAATTTGTTCTATTTTTTTCTTCAAGCCAAAATGTTGACACTTTACGCCCTAGACAGCATGCCTTTGAAGTCAGCCAGGCCTCCACACGCAGGCAGGAGCAGGCAGGAGGCAGCTGCAGGATGAAAGAGCCGGGCTGCCCTCGCCATGTGAGGCTGGCAACAGGCTGAATATAACCAGAGTCGCCATGATGAATCAGGAAGCAGAAAATGTGTTCTGCCACCAAGTGACTCTCTCTGTGCAGGAGAGCACGTGGCCTCCCAGGGCCTCGCTCTCCCCACTCTGTACAATGGGGCAATAACGCCAGATTAAAAACGGTTAGGGGGATGGCAGCTCCACAATAATATATTTCACCTTTACAAAGTCACTTATCCTCTCTGCCCCTCAGTTTTGTCACCGGTGACGGTGGTCGGGCAGGCTGATCTCTGCGGTCTGCAGGTGTTGCAGGCTAACACAACGCCTAAATTTTGGGTTAACGTGGCAAGTGAGTCTCCTGCTCTGAGTTGCCATTGAAATAGAAGAATTTGGTGGGCGTTTCTCCCTCTAGAGGGGAAAAAAAAGCCACAGAGCAGCAGAGTCTCTTTAAAATATGACCACTTAGCCTGAATTTCTCCTTGTGTTTACACTCAGTAATTCGGGCCTTTTTCACTCTTTGGTATAGAGCCGAAAACAGAAGCTGCACAAAGCATTAAGTCATGATAAGTACTTTCTTAACCACTCTCTCTCCGGGTAAACTGGAAGCGTCGTTATGAAGGTTGATACCATAGTAATCATATGAGACCCCCTTAAGACCACTCTGAGGCTGGGATGAGGCCACCCTTGTCAGAGATAGTGCAGCCTGGGAGGGGGCGGGGTGAGAGCCCCAGAGCCCCCCTGGCCACATCAGCCTTGCCCCCCAGCTGCTGTACAAATGTTTCCATTTTCCACGTATGCCTTGTCGGGACGAAGGACAGAAGTACCGGCGCAAGGTGTGACCATTGCGATGGAGAAACAGTTCTTACGGGGAAGAACAAAGATTTCTATGAGGTGTATCTGTTTTAAAAGGTGACCATTGATAACTCACCATGAGACCGTAGTTTTAAGATATATTTTGAGTATAAATAGGTTTTTAAAGTTCCACTAGTGGTATGCAGTTTTTCCACAATTCATATAGGAAATGCTTAAGAATTAGCATTATTGGCAAAATAATATAATTGGCAGATTTTAACAGTAAACTATTTTAATGTTTCAGGCAGAGCCTTTTCTGTTCTTCAGTCTGGATGACAGCAAAAGATGGGGAACATTTTGGAAATAGCAAATAATAGTGCCATTATTCTAATTAAAATGGTTGTTTTAAAAAAGTGAACATTTCTAAAGAAACAGAATTTTTTCTCTACCTTTGTATCCAGGTCTATGTGCCATTAAAAACTAAATGCTCATAATTTACCTTAAACTCTAATAATTTTTCTGTGTCATATTTTATCCACTTTAAACTCTAACAATTTAATTGTTCTCTAAGTGTAGACTAATTCAGGTAATTAAAAGTATGTCTCATTTTTAACAGGCTTATAAAATTGCATGCAACTATTTTTATAAGAAAAGTTGTATTTTAAGTGCAGCAGCAAAATGTTTTATTTAAAGGAATCCTGTTGATGATCTCTCCTCAAATTACCTTTGTTTATATATGGGTTCTATTAATGAGGTGAAATAAACCAAAGTACAGGAAACATTTATCAAAAATACTAAAAAAAAAAAAAAATCAAGTTTTTGAAACCTTTTTACGTATTTCAGTTTATATTATAAAGACCTGAATTGAATACTTTGGTTCTTTCAGAAATTATTTCAAGAGTTTTAAATCTAAGTTGAATCAAATTATTTCTAGGTAATTTAGTTTCCATAGTAGAATTTGTTAAGTGGGCTACACCTGCTGCTGTGTTTGATTTAATGCCAACTGGTGGCTGAGATCTAATAGTCCCTTTGGCAAGGTATTTCTAATTCTCTGTACTATAGAGCACATATCTCTGAGCACCTGAGAAATTTTATTATGTTACACATTTCCTTATGATACCGCATCAAGGCTCCTCTTTTCTAACTTCCATAATCTTACTAATTTATTTTTAGGTATTAGATTCCAAGATGTAGATGTAGATCAGCCCATGCTTACAAAATATGGCAACAGTTTACTGGAAGAAGCCAGAGGAGAAATAAGACATTTGTATGTATTCTCTTTGTGGTCATTTTAAAACTTTGTTTATTGATCATGTTTTGTTTTGTTTCATTCCTCTCTTTATTTTAAACAAAATTGGTTTACATACAAATAATTTGCTCCACCAAATTACAGCTAGATCTGTGGGATAAGCACATATTATTAAATATGTTTCTATTAAAATGAGGAAAATGAACAATTTAACCAACTGTGTCAATGGAAGTGTTTATAGAGTAGTGCTTTATTAATTTTCCCCAAAATGAGTGGCATAAAGTCCATTTGAATAGTATACACTTTAGAGGTAACATTTTCATGCTCAGAAATAATTACAGATAATTTTTTTTAAATCCTGAATTAATTAGTCTTTGTGGTTAAAAATATTTGGAAGGAGTGGCTTAAAAGTTTGGAGTTATCAAATACATATGGATTTCAGATTTTGTTTCAGTTTGATTCTACAGTACTGCATTCTTCATCATACTATGGTTTCAAAAAAGTTACTTCTGCCACGTTTATCTTACTTTTCCAGTTAATCAAAGCCTCATGGTTTCTGTGTCTGTGAGTCACAGAAATGAAGATAAGGTTCTGCCTTATCTACAGGCCTTCACCTGGAGCATCAGAAAGGACCAGTTCTGAATCATACTTTAGATAGTTGCTTAAGAGATGGATGAGCTTAAATTTTTTCCTTTTGAATATTTTAAATACCAGAAACAGTGATGATTATACTGTGAGAGAATGGAAACTAAAAGACTACACCTAATCTTGTTAACCTGTTAGCTCCAAAGCCAGGGTCACACGCCCATTTCCTGACACTCGGTACCCTGGGTTGCCGCCAGACAAGGTAGAGATAAGCAAATGCTAGAAAGCATTCAGTTATGTTTTGCCATCTCTCTCTGAAGTGTTAATTTGGATGGCATAGGGAGATCTGCATATGAAAGAACAAAGACATAGAAATTAGCTGAAGATGAACATATTGTGGAGTACACAGTAGGTGAACAATAAATACTCAGTGAACTGAACCTAACGACCCATCCATTGCTGAGGACAGTATCTTCTAAAAAGGACATCTGGAATTTCTCCCTATGTACTGCCAGATCATCGCCTCTGAACTGCTACTATTTTCCTCTGTGCGGAGGCACTTACGCTAAAATTTTAAACTTTTGCTTGCTCTTTATTATGGAGAACTTTCTCTGTACGCATCTTAAGTACTGCAGATATTTCTTCAAATGACACATTCATGTGAAGGTTCTTTATTTCAGAGAAGATGTTGTTCAGACCCAGAGAGGCCAGATAGAAGAGTTAGAGCAGTTGGCTGAGATCCTGAAAACTCAGTTGCGGAGAAAAGAAAATGAAATTGAGTTATCTCTTCTTCAACTTCGAGAACAGCAGGCTACAGATCAAAGGTATGTTAAAACAGAAATTTCACTTTGATAAGGTCAAAATTCATTTAAAATACTTTATCATGTGTCACAGAAGGATAAGTATAGTCTATTTAAAAATCACGTGTTTACTTCACATTCTCCATATAACCTGTTGTGGACCTACTAACTGCCATCAACTCTAGTCTGGGGGCAGTTTCCTTACCTGCTGGGCCTCATCTTGCTGACTCCACTGATTTGCCCCTCTTACCAAGACCTTAGGAAGTTCCAACACCATTTGATTGCTCCTTTCTGGGGGGACTATGCAACAAGGACTCAGCTGCTGGCAGACCTTGTGACTAAGTCCAGCCTCAAGTTTTTTTCAACCTTAAAAGGTAGTAAATGCCTTACAATGGTACCTGTTATTTTTTTTTTATCCCCAAAAGGTGTTACCTCTCCCAGTATTCAAAGTTTGCATTCAGCTCTGTTGATCATTATAGATGCTGGGGGTGCTTCTTCAGGAGTCTCCTTGTGGCCTCTTCATTTTTGACGTGTCATTACATGCGGCATTTTCTGTGCCATCCTCCTTTGCTTTTTGTTGTTGTTCGTAATGACCGTTCTCTCATTTTGTGCTTTCACGTTATGTTTCCGAGAAGAGTTTATGTGTTCTTCCTTGATATTTTCTTCCCCTCATGGCTTTTCTGTTTCTGTTACTTTTCTTTTTTCTTTATGCTTTTTTTTTTTTTGACCAAATATACCCCAAAGTAAAGAGAACAGTATGTTGAACCCTCAGGTACCCATCACTCAGGTTGAACAGTTACCAGCGTGTTACCAATCTTGTTTCATCTACCCCTTCACCTTTATTTTCTTCAATGAATCAGCCCGAGCAGGATACCATGTCATTCTGCCTGTGACTCCTTCAGTACATAGCTCTGTCGGAGAAGGGATTTTCTTTTAATGTGACCACTGCACCATTATCTCGCTTATAAAGCAGCAATTAATTCCTGGATATTAGCCAATAACCAATGTATGTACAAACTTCTCTGAAGTTGCCTTTCTGTTGTTGGAATTGAAGTCCATGTGAGTCCTACACATTGCGCTCATTATACCTATTTTATTTCTCTCAATTTTTTTTTAAACCAGACCTAGATCCTCTGTTTCCCCCTTTCCAACATATGCAATATCATGCTCAAGTGGCTAGGATCTTATCTTGAAAAACCGAGGATTATTTTCTAGTTTTTCATTTCAAGTTCAGAGTTTAATTCTCTTTTAACAAACTAACCTTATGTGGTAATGCTTGAGACAGCTAAGAAATGATGCATAATGTGAGACTCGTCTTTAAAAAATAAAGTAGGATTAAAAACATATGAAAAACTTTATATTTCAGAGTTTTAAAAGATTAGCACTGTCTCTAATAATTTATGTTTCTAAAAAGTTATGTGTAAAATTAAATTATATAATGAAATTCCATATAGTTAGGGACATTTATATATGCTTATAAGTACAGGACAAAAAAAACCATGAATATATTTGAGAATTATATATATATTAGGGGATATAATTTGAACCCTGGCTTTAAACCAGCTTGAATACCAAGGAGTTATTCGTGTTCCCCTAAGAAGAACTGATTTAGACTCAGCGTTCTTGGAAAATCAATCAGTGTTTCCTTGTGAGGAACATTGCTAAAGGATGAGGCCCCAACACCAAGTGTGGTGATCTCAGTAAATTGCCCAAAGCCATATTTAAGATATCATCTGAGTAAAAAATATCTGCACTGAGGCCAAACCCAAGCTTGGAGTCCAGTCCTGTCAGCTTCACTTTCTCTGTTGTATTACTTAACTTCCCAAAGAGTAGCATGGACACTGTGCTTGCTGGTCCCCCTTCCAAAGTGATATGATCATCTAGGAACTAGAGTGGTCAGAGTCCATTGAAAGGGAGATCCAGAAGTCCTTCAATCCTGGACTGGAACAGCACAAGAAACAGAGTAATGCACAGGTATACGTGTTTTCTACTGAATATTGTCAGCAAGAGGCACCGATATATACACACAGAAGAGTTCAACCTAAAACCTGAAAAGACTGCTGTGAAAAGTCAGGGGACTTGCACTCCACAGCAGGGTTTTTTGGGGGTTTTTTTTGGGTTTTTGGGGTTTTCTTTTTGGTCACATCAAAAGCTAGAAGACAAAATAAGAATTACAGGTAAAGGCGCTATTGTTTGTTGAGGTCAAAGAAATAAACCAATTTGTACCCTACTTCACTGATTTTATAAAATTGAAAATTACATGTTATTTCCTTAGAAGGAAGGGTACCTGTAGTGAATGGCATGTTGTTTCTTGAAATACAGTTGTTGAAAACAGAAGAAATGACTTCAAATCAGGGGCTTCAGGTCTATTTTTTCTTACATGTTTACACATAGCTCAAAGTTTTATGTGCAACAGCAGGGGTTTTTTGTGTTTTTTTTTTTGAGACTAATGGAAAACTGTTGAAAAAAATGTTGGGGAGAATATAAAACTTGGTATAATTTACTGTAGAGAAAAATTACAAAATGGAAAACATATTTGAACTTGTCTTTCACGGATACATTATTTCAGATTTGAAATCCTAGAAGTCTGATCTGAATGTTGGACTCCTTGTTCTCAAACATGAACCCAACATAGTTGTAATCTTCAGAGTGCTGTGCTGGATATTTATGGCAAAGAGCCTTTTCATAGAATATTATAGCAACTCTTCATAGTATGTGTTTAATAGACCAGTTTGGTTTGGCATCAGCTTGACATAAACTTTTGGTTATCCAAAGCCCTTAATTGCTTTGAAGTAAAAGCCCAGTGCTGCTCCTTTTTATTAAAATCGTGTTTTTTCTTGTTATTGTGGTCTATTTTGGAAGACTGAGCTGTGATTTTTGCATATGTTCTACATAATGCCTCATTAGCAAAAAATCTTGTATCATTTACAAGTAGCCTGAATGTCTGTGTTGTTTTGAACAAAAGTCCATATTAAAATTTAAACAATATAAAAATGCACATTTTCTGCTTATTAAAAAGGCCGTCTTAAATTAAATGCACAGCAGTAACCATTGAACACATGTACATGAACATTAAAATCAGAATGATTTTACCTTTTATTGACTTTTTCAACTCCAAAAATATTTATACTCTTACCAAATGTGTAACTAGTTTGTACTCTGTTTCTTTTTTAAGTACATGTTAGGGTGTTTATCTTCTTAATTAAAAATCATGTAACTGCCATAACGTCCCAGTGGAGGAAATTTAACCCATACGTGTTTCAGACATTCTAACTTACCCTGGTCCCTTCTGTTGGGAGCAAACAATCGAACCCTAAAACAGGCCTTCTGCAGCCTTGCAACAGAAGGCGGCGCCCGGCCCTCGGGCTCCCTTTCCCCTCTGCGCACAGGCACAGGGCTGCTTCCTGGCATGGCCAAGTCTTCCCCAACTGTTCATCTCGAAAACTGCAAACCCGCGCAAGAGCTGCGCACAAAGCAGTGAGAACGCTCAGGGGCCTTGTGCCCCTTGGCACATCTGTGGATGACACCAGCCTGCTCCACGCTGTGCACGCGCCTTCTCCCTCCCTCCCCATGCTCTCCCCACCGCTCTCATATCTGCGAGTTGAGTGCGCGGATCACTTCGCCCTCTCTGCACTTCTGAGTATCTTGTAGGAACAAGGACACCCTCCTTCATAACTACAGTGCAGCTCTCGCATTTGGGGCAGTTTAACAGTAAGTGATAGGGTGGCACCATCTAATACACAGTCCACATTCACACTGCCCAGTGGTCCCAATAATATCCGTTATAGCTATTTTGTTTAAGTAGCTGCTTTTGTTTTGATTTGATCTAGTGTCCAATCAAGGCTCATGTATTGTCTTTAATTGTCATGTCTTTTAGGTTTCCTTTATTCTAGAGTGGTTCCCCAGTCTTTTGCAGCCCATTGATAGCTGTTTGCAGAATGTTCCTCAATTTGGATTTGCCTGATTGCCCCGCCCCCTAATTTAGAGGGCACATCTGGTTCTCGGAAGGAAGGGTAACTGGGGCCAGGGATAACCATGCAAACATTAGTATTACACAGGGAGGCGATCTGTCATTTTTTTACAAATATATTCACCAAGCTCTTACTGTTGTTTTGAATACCTTAGAATTTGCCCAATGGACACTATCACTCACATTCCATTTTTTTATCCCTGTGCTTTTTATTATTAATATCACGTAAGATTTTTTTCTATAATAGCAGCTTCAGATATTTTCCCAGCACTTTATACAAACCACAGAAATTGCCACAATTAATTCTAACTCACCTATTAGCACAGACATATGTGAGAGTGGAGGGAGAGCCAAAACTTAGGAATGTCTCAGAGGAAGGCAGGGACTTAGAGGAGTGGGAAGAATTTACCTCTCAGAACTGGACTTGAGCATCGGCCCCCTCACGTGAGGACTCTGGCCAGACCCATTGCTTCTCTTGGCCTCAGGTAACCCCTCAACTATGACGTGAAGATGGGATTGGGTTTGTGGTTTCCTACCTTTCAAACAACAGCCACTTGTATTCCTCGGGATGTTGGGTTTCTGACATTTTTTTTCTACTTAATAAACAGTGTTAATTAATTCTTTTTAAACACTATATCATACCAAATATTGCTTCTGATAATTGTGAAATAACCTGTATTATTACTGAGTAAGGTATAATTCCATCAAGAGACACACACAATACAAAACCTTTAGTTCATTTTTGCCACTGAATTGCCAATAAATCTACATTTCCCACTGGGAGTTTTTGATACCTTAAATATAGTTCTCAGATTCCTATTACTAGTTGTAACCCATTAAACTTGAGCCTCAAAATGGTCCCCTGAAAAGATGCATCAGGGTTTGGCTTCTGGCTGTCCCCACCTGGTCCCTCGGAGCGCGCCCTCCGCTGCCAGGGGAGTGCGCAAGCGCCGCCTCACTGCGCGCCCCCCCTCCCCCCATGCAGTGTGGGCGCTGGGAGGAAGAAAATTCAAGTTCTGATTTCTATTTTGACCCAATGCCACAAGAAAGGTATCACCGAGAGGCAAATAAATACAGACAGACAACTGTTTTCCTCTGCGCACTCTTAGATCAGGGAGCATTATGTTCACCTATGAACTCAAGTAGCAGTTTTGAGCGAAACCATTACCTTTCAAATAGACTTTCATCAGCTATTTTAGTGAAACTTAGTCCATTTAATTTGCTAGCAACCTTCTGTAATCCTCCTCAGAAGGGACATCTCCTAGTGAATGTTATCCCTGTATCCCTAACAAGAGCCATGAATGACCTACATTTCTGTCAACAATACACCTACAGAATGTCTCCACTGTTTTAAAAAAATGTACAGTGTTTAATCCTAAGGTTGTTTTCAACTTTGTCCCCCAAATTTAGTCAGCCTGAAACCATTACTCAAAAAGAGCCTCTTTATTCTGTCTCATAAATATTTTACCTAACTACTGTCCAGAATCTCATAGCCTAGCATCTGTACTCTAAAGCCTTCTCTTCTAAGTGGTGTTAAGTACTGTATTATCACATTTTTACCTCAAAAAATCAAGAGGACCTTTTAGCGTTCATCCTCCTCACTGTAGCGAAGAATGAAATGTCACGGGGGATTGGGGAGGGGGTTGCAGGAGTTGTGTGCCTGGGAAATGAAGTATAAGAAACTCACCAAAGCAAAGGTTCTTTTTCTCCTTAAGACTTCATATTAGACTACACATTACATCGTGCGTCTGAAAGCTTTTCCTTCCCCAGCACATCGGAGGTCGGACGCTCCTGGATCTGGTGTGGCGCCCGGTAGCAAAGCCGGAGTCAAGTGTTTTCAGGGCTCCCATTAGAAATTCCTTCTTCGGAGTTCACTGCTTGGCTGTTTCAAATTACGAGAGAAACTTGGCACATAGGTTGTTGAGCTGTGTTACTTTTTCAACATAAAATCTAATTTATTTCAGTTTGTTTTTAATCTAGAGATGGGCCAACAAGTCTTTTCGGAGTTGGAGATTTTATCAGAATTCTAAATAATATGTCTGTTAAAAAGAGAAAAAAAGGAATGAAACTGTATTTTCCAACTTAATGTTCATATTTTTTTTCAAAATCCTTGTTGAGAAATTTATTTTTACAGTTTAATTGATATGCTTGATATCTGTTTGAAAATCAGTTCACCATGTGTAATACAGCATGTATGAATTGGTACATGGCTGTAAGTTCCTCTGAATGCTTTTACTATGCACTGTTCTTTCTTTTTTTAAAGATTTCATTTATTTTTAGAGAGAGGCGGGAGGAGGGAGAACAAAAGGGAGAGGCACATTGATGTGTGAGAGGGACATCGTTAAGTTGCCTCACGTACACGCCCCGACCAGTGACCCTCCGGTTTGCGGGGTGAGCCGCACCCGTCAGGGCTGTACGTTGTTCTTCCTGTTAGAATGCTTTCTGTCAGAATCAGAATCCCAAAGACTTGGTGGTCCCATCGCAGTGCATGGGACGGAGCAGGGCAGTATAATGTGGAGGTCACTTAAACCACCACCATTCCACTAGCCCCGTCTCCTTCCTTCAGGGGAGACCAGCCCGCGGCCGCCCTCCGCAGGCCCCGCGGCCCAGGACGGGCCGCTGAGCCAGGGACTCGCCCCCTCGTGCCCACAGCGCCCGTCTCATGTCCCTTGTCTGCTTTGTGGCGCCGGGCCTCTCCTCTTGTCTGTCTCACGTCCACCCTTGCTCTTTTACCGCATCTTGTCTCTAAAACTGTGCAGCCGATGCAGAGGTTTGAGATGGTTCTTCCCTGGACACCCTCCTCAAGGCCAGACCACCGCGCTCGCCTGGTTGCGCTGGCCTCTGTGCACTTTCTGCCGCCGACTGGCACAGTCAGAGAGCCAGGGAGTCATCCTCCTTCGTGCCAGCCCTCACAAGTGCCCGGGCACAGTAACGACTGCTGGGTGACAGCCCCTAAAACCGACACTGACAAGTAACTACTGAAGACGGGCCCGTGCCTCAGGTTGTCCCAGAATAGGTGTCCTTTTTAGCGAACTGACTTTGAGGTACCGCATTATTGTTGCTGATTTCTAAATACTACTTATGTTGTAATTTGTGCCCACTTTGGAGGCATTATTAGTATAACATACTAAGTCACTTTTCTTAGCAGTACTTTGAAAAGTCTAAATTCCAAGAAGTTTAGGAAAATACTCAAGAAAACATCCACCAATTACGCCACTGAAAGTTTTTGAGATACTTAGTGGCCTTTGCCATACAAAGAGAATTCAGAACCAAAATCTGTTGTTTCTGTGACCCTACATAGCCCAGTGGGTTATTGGAGCTTAATTCTTTGCTGTTAACATCACTAAACAATAATTATTATTTAAATATATTTGACATATACAGGGTGGGGCAAAAGTAGATTTATAGTTACAAATACATGAAACAGAGTTTATTCTTGTATTATCATGTATTAATTATTGTATTATTTTCCACACAAACAACCATAAACTTAACTCCCCCCGCCCCCCGCCCGCATAGCTTCTGGAAAACTTTAATATACTCAAAAATAAGAAAAGCCAAATATCAGGGACAGCTGAAAATATAAGAAAAGGTTTGAAATTATTTGAACAGTGTTCTGTCCTTCCAGGTCAGTAAATGTCACTCACTGCTGAGTGGTCAAACCAAGTAATTTTGGGGAAAACAGATAAATCATATTTCGACTTTTAAATATGAAAAAAATATGAATATTTTCTTTAGACCTATAAAATACATTTTTCTTCCATATTACATTTTTTAGTAAAAATAGTATTAATAGCATTAATAAAATAAAAATATGAATAAAAATAATAGCATTGATATTATCTTTAGTGAATAAAGATAATAGTATTATCTTAAGTGAGTAAATCTAATACTAAGGGGAATAGTAATGAGGGTACTGTTGAGTGTATGCTCAGAACTACTAGATAACATGTTTTAGACACATAATTACTTTAACATTGTGTTAAGACTGTGCCCTGGGCAAGATCCAGGTTCTTGGACTTGTTTATCTTCTGTGTGAGGACAACTGACTGTCCGATGCCAAAATACAATGAACTTTCAAATATCAAAGAGGAAAATTAAGTATTTCAAGTCCTCAGCTGGTTTACAGATGTGTGAGCTTTGTAGTCCATTTTCTGGTTCCAGTAGGGCAGTGTGACAATCTTTCCAATATGTGTACACTAGATAGGTTTTGGAAGCAAAATTACTTACTTTAAATACAGAGAAAGTTTTCTGAATTTAAAATTTGTATGTTTATTTTCTTTAAAAAATAAAGCCTAAAACCGAGCTTCACATTTTCGAAGATCCTTTTGAATGTAAAATGTATTAAATTAAGGAACTTTTCTCTGTCAGGAAAATAAATGCCTTTTGAAAACAGGTATTCATTTAGATCTGTGATTAACCTTTAATAAGATCTTCCTGTTAAATTCTACATTTGCTTTAATCTCGGTAGGAAAAATACAAACTAGTATTGCAGCATATAGAGTTTCTATATACCCTGTGGACGTTAAATGATCTCTTACAGCTAAAGGCACATCTGCAACGTATTTAAATGCCAGCTTTGGGCATTATTAGTATAAAATGCTAAGTCACTTTTTTTAGAAGTTTTTTGAAAAGTTCAAACTCCAGGAGGAAACTCCAATAAATGGTAATCTTATGATACCATTTGTTTTGAGGGAGTGGTGGGAAGATGAGCGGCTGTATTGCATATTTTTCATTTAGGGAAAAGCAGTGTGATCAGTCGGAGGTTTGGGGGGAAACACTTTCTGTGCTCAAGACTGACGTCCCTTGCTCCATCTTTCAGGATATAGTAAAATGGCACTAAATCAATGATACCAGTCACTGTGTGGGTCACACAAGTCATTATGTTTGGGGCTTCCTTCAAAATCTGAGAGTCTTTGGGTTTATAAAGTTCAAAATGATGATTGGTTGGTTTTAAATAATTTAATCCTAAGTGTATAATAATCTGAAAGTCTTGGTGACTGATCTGCAAGTGTGCACATTTTTTCTAGTTAATATTCCATGAAAAACTGTAACTCCACGACAGATTTTTTTACTTTTGCCTTGCATTTTTTTACTGTCTCTCTTTTTCTTAAACATGTCGTTGAAGGTCAAACATTCGAGACAATGTAGAAATGATTAAGCTTCATAAGCAACTAGTGGAGAAAAGCAATGCTCTTTCAGTAATGGAAGGAAAATTTATTCAGCTTCAAGAGGTACTGTGATCATTTATTTTATTATGGTGATACATACAAGTGTCCAAAATGTATTCAGGTTGTATATTTTTAAGTATAATTGACATAAAACTAAAAAGTAATTTTTTAAGATTATTATTTTTCTTCCCAATTTTGTATAATTTCACCTTATATATCATTTGTTATTTATAACTTAATACCTAAAGAAATGACCAACTGTTTGGATGTTTTATAAATGTCTGTGTCATCTTAAAATGATAAACATATTTATCATAAATCATCTCATGTTAAGAAAATTTATTTTTAACTCCTTTTGTCTGCATTTGCATGGGCACATAGCACTAAAAGTTTAGAGGTTTTACATATAGATTCAGCTCTAAGCATTTATGAAATATCCAAGATGGACCAAAGTTATGACTAGGCCGATAATCAGGTTTTGTTAAGTCTTCCTTTGATGTGGCATTTTGCTTTGTTTTGTCACTAAAATATTTGGGTATCCTTCATATCAACTATCATTGTATTTATTTTAAATCTTAACCATTCAGGCCGATAGTACTTGGAACTCTTCGTCCCCATTACTGCTCTAACAAGGACTGTGGCCTCGCAGGAATGTGCCATCAGGAGGATTTACTGGCACTGCCTAAGTAACATAGGTTCTGGGATTAATAAACGCCACAACGTTCCGGATGAGCAGAATTTACACTAAGCAGTGTAGTAGTCCACCGTTATCTGCAGTTTTGTTTTCCGCGGTGAAAGTTATCCACGGTGAACCACAGTCCAAAAATATTAAATGGAAAATTCCAGAAATAAATCACAAGTTTTAAATTGCATACCGTTCTGAGTAGAGTGATGAAATTTTGGGCTGTTCCCCTCTGTCCTGCCTGGGACACGAATCATGCCTTTGTCCAGCGTGTCCTCACCGTATGTGTCACCTGCCTGTTAGTCACTTAGGAGCCATCTTGGTTACCAGTGAGAAAGATAGAGACCATATTCATTGACATAGCTTTTATTATAGTATATTGTTATAATTGGTCTATTGTGTCATTAGTTATTGTTGATATTTTATTGTGGCTAGTTTATAATTTACAATTTATAATAGGTATGTATCTACTGGAAAAAAACATAAGATATCTAGGGTTTGGCACTCTCTGTGATTTAGGCGGGCCCTGAGGGTACTGGACCGTGTCCCCCGTGGTCAAGGGCAGATACCATACTTTCTTTGGAGTTCTGAGACAAGGAAAAGAGTAAATCAATGCAAAGCATAAGGTCATGTGAAGCCTAAATTCACTATTAAACGATATCCCCACTCTTCTCTGAATCAGACAGCTTGTGACAGAGAGGAGACTAACCGAGAGGGAATGACAGCATGCCATCTCTGCATCGGTAGGAGTGGGAGATTAAAAACACATGTAGTTGGAAACCACTTCTAAAATGAGGAATTAAGAAAGGAATTAAAAAGTGATTTATTCTTTACCACTGACTACTTTCATTGCCATTTAACAGTGGTGCCAGGTATCTGTTGAAATACTAGCACTCACAGGTGTCTGCCAGAGCACACGCTTGGGGCTTGGCACGGGGCAGAGAATTGAGAGGCTCAGACCATCAGCCCCAGTGAGGTAGGAAGGCCAGAGAAAGCTGGTTAAAGGCAGTGTTTTATAATAACACCAAGACTTACAAAAATTGGACTCAAGTAGCTCAATAGCCATGTTTCTTTCAAATGACTGAAGAACTTCAGTAGAACTTAGGTGATTTTAATTAGTAGGTGGGATGTGCATGGTATGATCGTAAGGTCTCTGAAAAGACTTTAACATAACCACCCATCTTATTTATAAAGAAGTGGCATTTAAGGATATAAAATTGAAATTAAAATATTCATAAGTAGACATTTTAAAAATTAAGACAACTTCAGTAACTGTTACTGAGTTGAAAATTTTAACTTAATCAAAATCAGAAGCTGGCTTTACCAGGCTGTGTATCCGGGTTGGTGGCAAGGGGTTTCAGTCTGACCACCTGTGGTCAGTATTGACTTTTGACCCAGGAAACAGCGTTTTTAGACAGCAGATCCACTGTAATCACAGGAAAAGGAAGAAAAATTGATTGTTAAAGCTAATTAACTCACTAGTCACTATCAACAAGTGAAAAACTAGCAGAAATTTTAAAAAGGGCAAAAAGAGTTTGCTTCATTTGACTCCGTGCTCAGCCAGCCCTGTATTTTCCCCCTAATGACACACCTCAGGGGAGAGGTCTCCTGCGGACAGGTCCCACGTACATTGTTTGCGAGGTGACGGACGAACTGTAGAACATGAACTTTAGGGGTACATTTATTTATAGAGTTATAGTCATGTATTCAAATCAGAATCCAAACATAACTTTTGAAAAGATTTTCCTTCTCGTTTTTAGAAGCAAAAAACTCTCAGGATCAGCCATGATGCCTTGATGGCAAATGGAGACGAGCTAAATAAGCAACTGAAAGAGCAACGCTTAAAATGCTGCAATCTAGAGAAACAACTACACTCCAGGACATTTTCTGAGAAAAGAATAGAAGAGGTAAGCCTCCAAACTGTTTAGCATCCATTGCATTAGAACTTCTCTGTAATTAACAGTTTTGAAAAAGTAACATTAGAGACATTTCAAATATTATATTTATCTAAAAATCCTGAACTACCCACATGGCACTTTGAGCACAGCAAAACGTAATCAGCATGTTACGTGGACGGCATATCAGTGCCTGAAAATGGCCCTGGCCTGGTCTCTCAGTTGGTTACAGTGTTGTCCAAATACTCCAAGGTTGCAGGTTCAGTTCCTGGTCAGGGCACATACAAAAATCAGCCAGTGAATGCATAAATAAGTGGAACAACTAATCAGTGTTTCTCTCAAGTCAATAATTTTTTTTTAAAAATTAATAAAATAAAAAATAAAAAAATACTTGCAGATGTACCAAGAGCCATAGCCATTGTTTACTTAAGACTTAAGGATCTTTGAGGAAAAAAGAAAACATTTTGAAACAGAAGCCAGATTACCTGTGGCACTTACTTTCTCATTTTTAACAGCTTATTAGTCATTCCCAATTCAAAAACAAAGTTATAGGAGCCTATATGTTTCGGAGGAAAAGGATGTTGTATTTTGCAACATCAGCAATTTTGTGAAATTATTTTTGTTCTAAGGAGTTGTTTGAAAACTCATCTTCCTATTATTTTTGCTACTCATGTCTCCCAGCTTGCACTCTTTTTCTTTAGTCTGTTAAACTTTTTCTCAAAAAGAATGAAGTGAAATAAGATGCCTACATTCTGTTCTAATCTTGAGAGAATCTTTTACTAGGTCTCAGGCCAGCATCAAAAGAGAATTTTGAGAAGGGAAATGAATTTTAAGAGTACTCTGATCCATGGGAAAAGGTTGTAACTACAAAATATACTGCTGAATAAAACTTAAATATAAAAAGGTAAAAATAATTATCACCCCAAGTTAATTTCTAAAATATTTGTTGGGATAAAACAAGGTATACAATTTTATTTTTTCATTCATATATTTAAAATATGTGCTACTGGCTCTTTGTAAATTCCAGGTAACATGAGAAATTATGACTTCAGAGTAAATAGTGATTGACACAATTTCTGTGAACCATAAACCAAAAGAAAAGTTAATCCTTTTTCTTTTTTATGGGCCAATTGGAAATTAATGCAAAATGAATATAATGTTGAAATTCACTGGGGAGGAAAGAAAAAAAATATTATGTTTCCCCAGACTTAACAGCAAGCTTTTAACACATTCTTTATTGAGTTTTGGCACAGGTTGCCATAAAGTAGTGCATACGTTTCTACTAAATTAAAACAGATATATTAATTTCATGTTTACTTAACAACTGGGGGGAAAAATCAGTGCTAAATTAAATACAGACAATATAAGTGGACTAGTTAGCAGCTGCAATTTAGAGCACAAGACATGTTAGCCTTCTCTTGTGTGTGTTTTACCCCCTGTGATTTTATATGATAATCACCTAATGTGTAATTTTAATTTTAGCTGCAAGATAGAATTAATGATCTAGAAAAGGAACGGGAACTTTTAAAGGAAAACTATGACAAACTTTATAACAGGTAAATCTGATTCCATGTGTTCTCTCATTCTCTTGTCTTGAGATCTTTTATATCAGAGCACTGATATCAGAACATCTAATATGTATTAAAGAATTAGCCACGAGTGATTGCGAGATATACATGTTATAACATATATTTATATATGTTATAAAAGAGAATGAGCTTTTGGGGGCATTGGCGATAAGTTTTTTAACCTGAGTGGTAATCTGTTTCTAAGAAAACCCTGTTGCCGTTACTGGTAACAACTGCTGCTGTTTATTTAACACAGACTATAAGCCAGTAAGTACTGTACTAAATACATACATTACTGTAAATTCCTCACAACAGCCTGGAAGTGGAGGCACTGTAAATGCCCATTTTGCAGACAATGAAGACAGAACAATTAAGTAGCTTGCCCACCTTCTTAAAGCTGTGATGTAACCGGGGTTGTGTCTGAACCTCTCTGGGTCTCTCCAAGCCTTCATTTGCTTCCACTGGGCTAGCCAGCCTACAAGCTGAGAGGGATTCTTTTGCTAGAGGCAAAAGTGTTAGCTTATTATTGGCTGTCTTTCTTATGAAAAGAAACACAGGCATCTTTATCTCAAGATAGATTTTAAAGAGCTGTTTCAGTTTTGTTTTTTATCTGCTTTATAATTAAGGTATTTAAAAAGTTAACCCCTACTACGAATGTTAGAAACAGACTTCTACTCCACAGCTAAGTTTAGTTAAGTGATACAGGTATCTGTGTGTGTGTTTCGTACATGATACTGATAAATGATAAATACACATTTACATGAAAGTCTATTTCATATATATAGAAATATATCTGTTAAAGCTGATACAGCAGTTGCTTCCATTGATCATATTTTGAACCGTCAGAAAGTAATCATCTGATCTACAGAATATCTTTAACTTTTTATCTGTACATTTAATGTTTTGTAAATGAAATTTCTATTTTTTTCAATTAAACAACTTATACCTAAAGAGTGTAGTGATAGGTTTTTATTCATTTTTACTTTGAAAATGTGTCTAAATTAATGTGAGGCATCATTCCAATGGTATGCATTATCCATGTGGTTACCTGCTGGTGCTGATTGTCTTTGCACAGTGGCTCATTATATTGAGGGTTACAAATAACAGGTTCAGACTTCAGTTAAAATAATACCTGGGGCTCCCCAGCAAGGATAGACTGGCTAAAAATCTTTCTGTGGGATTTGACTTGAACCCCGTTCCAGACATTGGCCTTAGTCCTTTGTTCTGGTCCCTCTCATCAGCCCTGCTTAGTTTCACCCAAAGCATTTATTATACTTCTTGCTTTATATTCCCATCTCTATAAAACAATACATAGGTTTATATTGATATGTACCTAAGTATTTAGTATTGTAGTTGTGTGCTTGAAAAATTGAAATTTCATTTCGCAGATTGCCTGACCACCATATTCTGTTGTGGGGAAAACGTTATCCTCATATTTTATAAAGAAGGGAATTGAGAATCAAAAAAAAGGGGGACTCCTACAGTCTCCTGGCATTGCAGAGACGCTGGTAGAAGGCTAAAACCTAAGTCTCCTGATTCTAAAACTTGATTTTTCCACCCCCTGTGCTTCACTATCTCTCTGATTTTAGTTGGATTAGAAAATTGTATATTCCATAGGGAAACATTCATGGAATAACAGAACTGTAATACGTTCAGAAGTTTTTATTGATTTTTATCTTCAGCATCTTGTAATTTCAAGTAATTTAACATGGTCTTACTACAAGAAAATAAGTGCCATTTGGTCGTTACTTGTATATTTTCTACTTCCCCCCAATTAGGGGATTTACTGAACATATTCTTTTGGAATAAAACACTTAGCTGGGAATAATGCATAAATGGAATTTTTAGAAAGACATGTTTTTCTCATACTTACTTTATCACCATGAAACTTTATCTTTCCATATTAGATGATGATCTAAGAGTATAAATATAACTTTGAATGTTTTTTTCTTTTATGTTTTATGCTTGAGCTACATTTTTTTCTGTTACATTAAACAGACTTCATTATGCTGCTTGCACTTGAACTTTGTGTCAGGCAGATGGAAGTAAATGTGTGTAATGAGTGTTATAACATTTTGTGTCAGAAAAAAAAAAAGTCATGTCACACACGAAACCCAGCAAGCACACACATAATAGTAAATAGAACTATAGAATTTTCTAATACGATTTTTTAAAATGTATGTTTTCAGAAGTTGGAGAAACTACAAAACTCAACAAACTACAAATATCAGCATCATTCCTAAGATTCTTTACAGCTCTTGTGTTTCGTGTCACTGTTATTCATCATCGCCAACAGCTAGCGCTCATCAAAAACTACATACACTCTGCTGGGTTAGTCATAGTGATAGCATGTTTTTAAAAGGAGAGCATTTGTTTGTTATCCAGAATTGGCCAGCTTTCAGGAGAAAAATGTGATTTGCAGATTGCATTCTCATCTTCCTTTTTCAAATGAAATTTTGAATGTGTTTATTACTTGACATATGACATATTAGAAATCATCTGGTAAGATAAAACCCTCATGTTAGTATTTGGTATGAGCCTTTTCTAATATGCTAAACATTCTTGATACAATGCCAAGGAATAAGCATAGCCTTAAGAAAAGCCAATTTAAAAATTCAGAATAAATTTTTTGCAATTAAATCTTTGTCTTTGGTTAGAGAGAAACTATACTATAAAAATAGCGTCCCATTTTTGAGGTTAGTGTAGTTTTAGGGTGATATAATTAATGCATGCAGTTGTCCTTCAGCTATCATGTATATAAAGAACCTAGAAAACAGAAAACATAGGTTTTTCAGCCTCTTTGAAACCTCTCCATCCACTATCATCCAACTCCGATTCAGTCAATTTCAGGTCAGATCCATAGAATCTGTTAAAGGTGGTTTTAAAGTATTAACTCCCCGATAGATACCAATCTAATGCCTATTGTTAAAAAAAAGAGTTAGTCTAGTTTTTGAAGATGATATTAACCATTTTAAGAACTGGGTGAATCAAGTTTTTACAACATGATACTCCCCTAACACCCACAACTTAAAGGAACAGTGCCGACCACCCATAGGCTCTCGGAGCTCCACTGCTGGAACGAGAACACCTGTCCCTGCCAGGAATCGTGGAAACTCACGTGACCACTGCTTCCCAGAAACCAAACAAGTCCATTCTGGGCCATCATTTCTCCTTCAATAAGTGAAATATCTTGATGTAAATACGCATTTAATTTCCATTAGGCCCTAACTAAAGTACCTATGGATTTCTTTAGGGGTGATTTAGAGCTTGTACTTCCCTGTCTCATTAGGATACCCTTGTACATTGGAATAAATGGGATTTCTCCAGCAAGAAAAAAGACCTTAGGGTCGAGATGAATTCTTCAGCTCTCATTTCGATCCTGTCCTGTCTTTGATCAGGGGTGTGTGCTTACAGGGTGCTGACCCATGGCTGCAGTGGGCATGCCCGTGAGCACAGGCATCGGCAGGCCTTCCACTGCAGATGGCCACTTGACCAGGCGCGCTGCTCAGTGTAACTCTGAAACGTGCACAAAGACCAACTGTCATCCCCTCCGTTGTCACTGTAGGCAATGCACAAAAACATTTTCATGAATAAAAGGCTCTCAAAGACTGTTCTCATATGCAGATTTAATCATGTACACAGCCTTTACAAAGAAAATGGAGCCAGATGTGGTTCACCATTTATAGTTACACAGATGGCTGCAAGCATAGAGGAATACAGTAAATTCAAAAGGAATTCCTCATGAAACTCCAGTGGAATGCAACCCTAAATCCAGAGGGAAGATAGCAGTGCGCTAAATTCAGATTGACTTATGCTGATTTACACTAGCATTTTGTGGGTTTGGAAAAACCAGGCTGCTAAATTGTTCTTAATTTAAACACATACAGCTTCTGATGTTTCTGCCAGATTAACTGTTGGTGATCTTTCTGCTAGTACTAATGCTATTGGAACACTACTGTTTCTAATTTCTGGCGTCTGATATAATGTATAGTTGTGCCTATTTCATCATGCTAATTTTTTTTCTGGGTAGTACATGTTTTTAATAATACGAGACACACACACATAAACTCACATGCATATATATGTATGCGTTTGGTATATATAATTTGACCAGACACAGAAATTATATCTGTTCTTTATTTTAAAATGAAAATGTAAAGGAATGTTCTTTAGTTTAGTATTTAAAGTACATATTGTATTTAGATTTCATTTAAGTCTAGGTAATTGTACCTTTTTAAAAATTAATTTAAAATATTGGTATATGAAATCCATGCATTCTTTTTAAGGTTCCATATGTAGAACATTGATAGATGAAACAGATGTCATATTTAGAAAAACTTCTAGAATTTCATTCATTGTTAAGGTTATGTTATTTTAAATGCAATAAAAACATTCAAAATGTAAAATGAATGCACAATTTTTTTTTTTTCTTTTGAAAGCTGTGCCTGTCAGAAAAGTATCTCTTTTGGGGGGAGAAAAAAACATCTCAAGACTAGCTGGGAGCAACAGTAAGGGCAATTTTCAATAACAAGTTTCTTTTTTAGTTACTTCGTCATCAGCACAAAACCAGCTTTTATACATTTTTTTGTTTCATTTACTGGGTTTCAAATAAGTAGAAAGGTCAAAGCTGCTGATAATTATTCAGTCATATCAAGCTTCACAGATAATAGTTTTCTGCTGAAATACAGATCAAGATCAGTTTTTCCAAAAGCTGGCTGTCACCTGGGAGCTTTATAAAAATAGGGATTCCTGGGCCCCAGGGCTCCGTGTGTAAGTCTCCCGGCATGCTCTTCGCATAGCTAGCTGGCCCGGCGTCAGCGTTTAGCTGAGGCCAGCACTTGGGCACCACTGGCCTGCACGAACGTGGAGTATATGCCTACTGTATACTATTTTCTAGTTATTTTCCCACTAGTCCTTCCAATCGTGGTCATTCGTAGATTTTAACAGTAGTTTAAACTGCTACATTTTTCTTGAGGGGTAATTCTTATCGGTGTTCTCAGTAGGTTTTCCTCCCAATCATGTGTTGCCAAACTTACTCTTTTTGTTCTTGTGCTTTTTATTTTTTTTAGGACAAAAACTGCCATATCACTGCTTCTTAGTAGCAGAATTGCCGCCTTGTCATCCAATATGCTACTGCTTTGTGGCCAGGCCTTTGTGACTGTGTTATTATCACAGGCTCTTGAAACGTTTCAGAGCCTGGAGTTAGAGATCAGGTTCCCTGCGCTGTAGGAAGAGGGCCTGCGCGTGGGAGAGCAGGGCCCGTCCGCGGCGACTGCTGAGGTTTGGAGTCGCGGATCCCCCTGGAGTGCGCGCAGCATCTGAATTCCTTCCCTAGGCCCACAAAGGCTGCGTGCTGCCAACTCCTCTGGCTGTAGAGCTCTAAATTAAGGCCAGCTCCTTTGCTCATCCCACAAGCTCTTTCATGTTCCCCGACCGCAGCCTGCGAAAGGCGCCTGGGTCTCAACAGCAGCCGACCAGCATGTGTTTACTTAATTCCTGAGACATGATGACAGTGGTCTCTGTGCCACCAAACGCTCTCCCCTGTACCGGCGTCGGTCGGAGCTGCCTCGCGAGCTCTCCTCGCGTGTCACGTGTGTCTTGCAGCGCCTTCAGCCCCGCCCCCGAGGAGCAGTGGAAGCGCAAGGAAGAGCGGCTGAACGTGCAGATCGCGCAACTCGAGACGGCCTTAAAATCCGACCTAGCGGACAAAACCGAAGTCCTTGACCGATTAAACTCGGAAAGAGGTACCTGTGTGACGTGACTGCCCATGTGCTCATTTCAGACCTGGGCGCGGCTCGCTGTTAGCCACGCCCGGTGGGTGCCCAGCACAGTGCACGCGCCCCGCCGGGCCCCGCCGGGCAGTCCACTCGCGCGGGCGGCGCCGGCTGCTCGGAACTGCCTTTACGCATCCTCACCCCTAGGCCGAAGGAGTTGTGGTTCCTCGGAGTTCTTTTTTATTCAGGTTGCCTGTAGTTTGTGTGCTTTTCCTAAATGCCCGAGCCCTCTTCAACAGTCAACAAGTGTTACTTTGCTAGGCGCTGTCCTTAGTTCCCTCCGGGGAGGCCGCAGCCAGTGAAACACGGCCTTGCCCGCAGGCAGCACCGCTTCAGCAGGGGCACAGGCCGCGGCGACACGGATGTGTGGCATGTGTGGAGGGGCAGGTACACCGCGGATAGAAACAAAGCAGCGGAAGGCGACGGGGTGGCCGCGGCTGGCCGGCCTGGACAGGCCCAGCAGGGAAGGGCCCTCTGAGAAGGAGAAATCCCGTTCTTCGCTGTGCCAGGGAACTCCGAGTCCGGGGAGCCTTGTCGAGCTGGCCCTGCTGTGACAATTCGAGTCGCTGGCAGGGAGGGGCGCGGGAGGAGGGCCTGTGTGGTTTTGCTTGCTGTATATTGTTTTTCATACGGTGGATAAAAACAAGGCCTGATTGGGGGGGGGGGGGGGAATGTCCCTGCTGAATAACAATCATTAACAAGTTTCATGTTACAAGTCACGGGTCTCATCTTCCCTGTCTCATAGAAGTAAAATAATTATAATTCAGTAGATGTTTGATTTACTATATTCTGCACATACACATTACACACAAATGCACAACAGGGGAATTCTTTGCCTCAAATACTGTATCTGTTGCTCATCCACTACGTAAACCAAGTGATGTGATAATAAGGTTGCTTCTTTGGAACATTTGCAGTTTTGTTTTATGAGAACATTTAAAAGTTTAATGCAGACTCAGTAAAAAAAAAAAAAAAAACAACGTATCTTGTCAGTATTCTATATATTGATTTCAGTCACAATGCCATACTGATTAACTTATAGAAAAGATTTTTTTTCCCATTTTAACATTTCTGAAATTAGGATGCATTTTATAAATGATAACATTTAAAAATTATGGTCTGACTTTTTTTTAACATTTTAGGAAGGCCAAAACAACACACTCTATGATTGATATAGTCTTAATTTCAATGAAATTCTTCTATTTAACAAGTGATTAAATCTGATGAAAGCTTATTTATGAATTTTTCTCTAGAAGATTGTGAGTAGAATAAAAGGGTGACATGATTTCTGAAAAGGTGGATATTTAAAGTTTTGAGGTCAGAGATACCAGTTTCTGATTTTACTGCACAGTGTGCTTTGTTTAGTAGTTGCTCACTGAATTCTTGCTCACTGAAGAAAACATATAAATTGCTCTCTTCAAAAAACATAAATTTCTCCTTCTTAAAGGAAAGTGAAAAGAAATACACTTTTCTTATTTCTGTGCTTTCTGTACTTCCATAGATACTAAGAATTCCAAAGCTCTCATCTACAGACATCTGAACCGATCTCTGGAAAGAAATTCTTCTTAAGGGGATAGAAGCTTGGTGGCCTTTTTCTTTTTAAACATCTTTATTGTTGTTGAACAAGTTCTGAGGGCTCTTATAAATTATCGAAACTACAATTGCCAAGTTATTTTATTTCAGCTAGTCAATTTCTCATCTTTTTTTTTTTTTTTTACTGGTTCTTATGTCTCTTTTAGACTTTCCGAATAATAAAAATAACTCATGTACACCATAAAAAAAGTCTAGTAAAAAAAAAATTTTTTTTAATCACTCAAATTCATAATGCTGAAGGATAACCTCTATTAACACTTATGTCATTTCAGAATTTTCTCTCTGTATAGATACAATTTTATAACATGCTTTTTTATTTACTATATTGTGAAATAATTCTTTGAGTATAAATATAAATTCCCATCCCCCTGATCTGTCATGGTTGTCCTAGTTTATCAGTGTGAGGATGTATCATAGGTGAACAATCTTCTCTTGAATGAATTTTTAAATTGCTTTAGTTTTTTAAGTATCATAAAAATTTTCTAAACGAACCTTTATATATTCGTTTTTTTCTAAAGAAAAATTACTGGGACTAAATCTTTATTTTTAATGCAACTGTTATTTTAAGTAATTTTTGCTTGACTACCTGAAATTATAGGTCTAATGATTTACGTTTCTGTTTTTTTGTGAAAATATCACAATAGACTATAAGAAAAATATTGCAGCCTTTCACTGTTTTTTCTAGGGAAACACTAAACCAAAAAACTGAAATTGCCTATTTAAGGAAATCTTTTAATATTTAGAAAGTTCCTCTTTGTATAACAGATTCTGAAATTGTTTAATTTTACTTTGAAGTCTCTTCACACACTTACCTTTTCATGTACCAAGTGTTCTTTGCCAGAAGATGTTTCCCCGGCTTCTTGAAGTCATTCATCTAACTGGCAAATTATTTTTAGAGAATACTCACCTCTTTATTCAAGGTACAAATTAGTTTCAGATTGTGTGAATACGCGGGGGAAGGATATGTAAATGCCGTTTGCATTTGGTTAATGCTTAAATTAACTGCATGTGTTTAAGGGCCTGCTTGTGAAAGCTCCTTTCTATCTTTAGCTGAAACGCATAATTCAGCATAATGCATATGGTTATATTGATCACAGCTGAAGATATTAACACAAAGGAGTTCTGAAAATTGTTTAGTTGAATTGTTCTCTGCACTCTGCTTATTAATGCTGTGCTTGAAGAACATAAGTTTAGAAGAGTGAAATGTTATCTCATTTGAGTAAAATGCTGTTTAGTTTAACCTGTTTTTTATCAAATGATAAGGTAAAGGAGATTATTTTTCATCTTGTACAGGGTGCCTTGATTTTTCATATTATAATTCAGCAAGTCTGTTTCCTCTTTGAACTATAGCGTCTCCCAATAAACAGTTTAATAAAGGAAAAATGTAGTGAATAATTCTATATAACATTCAATAGACAGAAAGTTACTGATATTCAGTAATATCTTCTCCCATTGAGTTATTTTCTTACTAATAATGCCACAATTTTAAAAACCATCAGTGAACATAGGGGAATATAGTTGTTGAAACAAAAATCAGTAAAAACAGAAACATTGGAATAAGTTTATTTATATTTACTAGCATATCATTCTTAGGGCCCTGCTCTGAAGAACTGAAACAATAGAGAAACTAGAGCATAGAAATAATTGTCTAAATGAACATGGAGCAAGTCTGTCCTATATACTTCAGGTCACCCTCAGAGTCCCTGAAAGTTTTGCCGGCCAGAGAAGGAAATTATATGATCCTCAGGACCTGTGCTTTTATATCCTCTGATGACATTTACCTCCTTTTTGTTACCTAATCATTCTATCTAGATGTCATTTAACCTAATCAATATGAAGGCTTTCCACATTCTTATTCTACTCTCTAAACAAAAAGCAAGTTTCTCTTATGAGAATTCATATTTATTATTAATCCTAATTTTTAGTTTAAAGACAAGTATCTCACTTTTACCTTCAAAATTTCCAAGTATACATTTAATTTTTTTTCATTTTGTTCATTAAATATTAGTAATTTATACTCTAGGATAATCTTTAACCTTTTATCAACAAGAAAAGATATCTATACATTTGATACTAAAGTGTCTCTGCATACTCTAGAGTCACAGGTTGGTTTGTTTTACTGTTTAGTTTGCCAGGAAATATGTGACATTAAAAATATCCAAATTTATTCCATTTCTTCCTAACTGTGTATTTTACCTTTTTTTTTTCTTTTTTAACTTACATGTAGTATTTCTAGCTTGGAAACAAAGCAGTATAAATGTCAGAAACACATTTTTGTATAAAATGCAGTCAGTGTGCAAATGTACTCATGTAAAGAGTTCTTGGCAGATGTGTTGACTTACTTTTTTTTAAGAAAAGGAAACAAAAATGTACAACTTGAATTGAGGGCTTATGACAAACATAAATCTTTGAGAGTAGGCTGGAATTACTGGAGACACTTTGGATGACATGGTTTAGAGTTAGTCCCCAGGGAGCCAAAAAAGGAGGGACTCTGTCCACCACAGTGAACGTTATTGAAGAGTACACCTAATGAGACTGAAGAATAAATGTGTTAGCTTGCTACTATTTTTTTTTTTTTAAGTTTATAGCATGTTTAATGCAGGGAGTGAAAAACTAGTCTCTTTGTGAATTTACTGTCTTCGGTAGCTCAACCCTGAACCCCTGTTTGTGGGTACTGGCGAATGAATGCCTGGGGAACATGACCGACCTCTGTCGGCTCCGTAACCATAGCCCAGGGTCCACGTCTGTCTCATTGACAGCATGAGCTCATCAAGAATACACATGAATTATTATTGATACCGCCACACACTGGTTGAAAATCCATGTCTATCTTAACAGATTTGTTAAAAGTGTAGCTGATTAAAATTATGGCTTTAGTTATAACCAGAGAAATTATCTTGCTTAAATAAAAATATTTTCTGTTAACTTGGGAAAAGAATATCCAAGGAACTCAAAAAACTAAAAGATAAAAAAAAATTTTTTTTTTGCATGCCTTTCAGGACCCTTAATAAGTAAGTAAAAATCATAGACTTAGAAACATATTTTCTTAGGTATTTTAGATAGAATGTTCCTTTGAAGTCCCAGAGGCCACAATTTCCTTATATTAGTACTGCGAACTTACGTCTTAAGTTTTTGATAAGCAGTGAATCATATGGCAGACACATGAGAGTGTTCGTTCCTTCCTCACTCCCAGCCGCCTCTGCCTAGGTGCTAGCTCAATTTCCTCTCTGACCAGAACAGTGCTTGGTGTGTATCAGGAGTAATATTAATTTAAAATGTGTTTTTATCCCGCATTCTCTCATCCCTTCCTAATTGTGTCGACTTTATTTTTAAGACCAAAATGAGAAACTTGTTCAAGAAAATAGAGAACTACAGTTACGCTATCTGGAACAAAAGCAACAACTTGATGAACTTAAAAACCGCATGAAGTTTTATAACCAGGTGAACCATTTCCTTCTTTACGAAATAAACTCCAAATTTTTACCTAAATATTTTTATGCGTAGAGAAAACAGTATACTAGAATGACAAAGAATACAAATACGTTAACTTCATTTATTAGTTCATGGTGTCAGGCAGCCTGTGGTCCGTGAGGGTAATGCACGTAGCTGGGATGTCTCCTGTACCTGCCGTCTCCATCTCACTGTGAGCTTTCGCTTACTCTGTCTTTCGCAGGAGAGTGATATAAATGCTGATGAACTGAGTGAAGCTCTGCTGCTTATAAAGGTAACTTTCTGAACTTCACCATGAGTTTCATGTCGACATATAACGGTTCCAGCATAATGAAGGCCCTTGTCTGTAACCCTTATACTTGGAGAATGAATTATTCAGGAAAGTGGTCAGGTGACATTTAGTTACAGCATATACATATTTCATAGTGACATCAAAATTACATTAAAATGGACCTTAAAAACTTTTGTTTAAAGCGCTTTCTCCAACCATAACAAACATTTTACTTTTACATGCCGTACTATAAAACTAATAAACAATTTTCTGTCCTAAGAGACCTTGGTACACACGATTATTTGAAGTAAAATATTGAATTTTAAGTGTTACCAGAAGATATTTTCCAGTTCTAGGATACTCTGTTGTTTACAGGAAGACATGAGAAAATGCATTTATTTCCTTTGAGATCATCACAGTGTAGATTTTAATCAGATGAAGACACAGAAATAGAAATAAATGTACATGATTTCTTTTTTATGTCATGAAGTAATAAACTGTTTTTTAAATTCTCTATAATTGTTCCAAATGTCTGTCCAAATATATTTTCTATACCAGGACTACTTTATTCCTGATGGAAAATGGAAATATATCTGTTTTCAATTAATGATTTTTCCTTGCTATATCTATATTAAATTGTGTGATTACATTTTAGAAACTCTTGTTTCAATAATAAAACATGGTTTTGTTTTAGGCGCAAAAATCGCAAAAAAATGGAGACCTTTCCTTTTTAGAGAAAGTAGACAATAAAATTAATAAAGATCTAGAATACTCCATGAGAGAGCTACAAGCAACTCATGCAGAAACAGTGCAAGAACTTGAAAAAACAAGGAACATGCTAATTATGCAGCATAAAATTAATAAAGATTATCAGGTAATGTAATACACTGAGTTGGGAGAGTAAATTTCCTGTGAATGTTCTACAGATGATATACTTTCTTAAGCAGTATCGCGTGTGATCTCGTTGTAATCTGTGATCACGTGTTACCCCATGCCTGGAAGTTTGCCGTATACATAAGGACTTAGACTAAAAAGTCCCTGATTTTAGAGAGCAAATGGTGGCCCTGAGCTCCCCTTCACTGGTGTCAGCGCCTTCTGCAGAGGGACCGTAGTTATTCTGAAGCGCTGCCCCAGCCAAGGCGTGCATAGCCGCAGCCGGCGGGAAGGCCGCCTCCGCAAGTGGGGTCTGGACTTTGTTGATTTTACTTCTGATTTTATGAACAACCCTAAACCTGATTTTCTAAACTGTAAGCTATTTGACATCAGGAAAGTGGTTTACAGTTCCTGGTATCTCCAGGAACTAGAAAATGCTTGAATCATCCTTGCTTTAAAAAAATGAAAATGGACTAATCGTAAGCATCAAAACTTACCTCATTTTTTAGATGGAAGTTGAGGCAGTGACCCAGAAGATGGAGAATTTGCAGCAAGATTATGAACTCAAAGTGGAGCAGTATGTTCACCTTCTTGATATCAGGGCTGCACGCATCCAGAAACTAGAAGGTACAGTGTGCACAGTTCGTTGCCCTTGTTGTCCAAATCTGCACTTATGATGTCTTCTTGCCCTTTTTCCCCCAATTTATAACTGTAATAACAATTCACCAGAAAGGTTGTTATTATCTGATTCTTTTCTACTCCAGAATATGTGGTCATTCCTTACTGCTTTTTGAATTCAGTGTTGCTTGCAGACAGGATTTGATTTCAAAGCACTTCATACAGTATCTCAGACTAAATTTACCACCCCATTTCTAATTTCTAAGGAAGCTGTGCACCTTAGTCAAACAAGCCTGCTTGCTCTTTGTCAGATTCGTCTTGCTCAGTCCCATCGCCGTGCCTTTGTCTCTTCCACGTGGCCACCTTTCTCTGCTGACTGAAAGATACACTTCCCTGCCTCAAAATCCAAGAGCAGGCCCGAGCCATGAAGCTGGCTCCCTCCATCCCTCTCGTTCCCCGAGCTGGGAAGCTGGCTCCAGCCATTTCCCAACAGGAAGTGCCCTTGCAGTAGTTTTCTACCTTTAGCAAGTATGAGAATTTCCAGGGGCGCTGGTTTCATTTGTAGCTTCCTGTGCCCTCACTTGGACCCCGGGACCCATGCTTCTGTGTATTTAGAAATAACTCCAAGCTATTCAGATGTAGGGGTGAGACCTTACTTTGAAAAACACTGCCTAGGCACTTGTGCTTTTCCTCTCGTGTGCTCAGAAACTGTGTTTGGGGACTGTATTACCAGGTTTCCTCACTGTTGGAGCTTTGCACATTCTCTGTGACTACAACGTAAGTTCTACAGTCAGAAGTATGTTGCCTCTCTTTCATGCCCCTCGCCATACAATGCTTAATTCAACAATCTGTGCCAGCAGTAATTTTACACTTAAAAATTACTGAGAATCCCAAAGGTGTTTTGTTTATGTGGTTTACACTTACGATATTTATCATATTAGAAATTAAAAGTGAGAAATTTTAAAAATATTTTAAGTCATGTTAAATAATAAACCCATTACATATTAACATACACTACAGCATTTATTTTTAAAATGCAGAATTTTCTATACCAAAAAGTAGTGAGAAGAGTGACACTGTTTAATTTTTTTTTAATTTTTTTAAGTGTTTAACATTTCTGCAATCCTTTTAATGTCTGGCTTAATAGAAAACAGCTGAGTTTTTATAGGCGCTTCTGTATTGAATCTGTTATGATATCACGTATCATGTAGGTTCTGGAAAACTTCATTATACACTCGTGAGAGACTAAGAATGAAAAAAGCGAATAATATCTTAGGATTATTTTTTAAATAGTTCTGATTTCATGACCTTTAAGATAGAGTCAGGGACCCTCAGGGGTTCCCAGACCACACTTTGAGAACCACTGCTCTGAGGAGAAGGACTCAGTGAATATCTTTATCTGGCTGAACAGGGTTTTCCAGAGGTCACAGAGCAGGGTGTACCTTTCATTTCAAGTAGTACTCAATAAAAATTGCTTAATGGAATTTTTCTGAATAACAAGGGCACAGAGCTTGGGATTTTCATTTCTTTCAAGTCTTAGTAAATCTTTACCAATATATTTCATCTCTTCTCTAAATTCATTGATTCAGTCCACAAACATGCCCCAGCTCCTAATGCCCCCTAAGCAGAGAGCTAGGCAGCGAGAAGACAAACAGGGGACACAGCTCACGCAGTAGCCTCAAGGAACTCATGAGATGTGAACGGAGAGCATGGGACCAGGAAAATGCAAAAGGTACCCGGGGGAATTGAGGAAAGAATGCCTGTTTCTGCCTAAAGGTTCTGGGAAGACTCCCCATGCTAGGCTGGGAGTGTTGGAATGTGACGGAATTCACCACTAAGTAAAAGCAGCAGAAGGCAGTGCAGGCAGGAGAGAGGGCAGGTAGAAAGCTGACGGGGGAAGCTCTGTCGTTCCTTTGGGAAACTGCGTGTGGATCCATTGACTGGGAACCCAGGATCGGTCATTGTGAAGGCCTTGTTTGCCTTCCTAAAGAGAGGGACTGAACTGGAGAGCCACGAAGGGATGTTTCGAGTAACGTACCCAGGACTGCATTGTGGGCTTTGGGAGGACCGGGAGGAATAAGTCAGAGAGGAAGGAAGGAGGCAGTGAGGGCTTCATAGTAGCCTAGGAAATAAGCACTAGAGATTAAGGAAGGCAGCATCAGTGGAGACAGAGGACGGGGGCAAATTTGTTAAAGACTTAGGAAACAGTGTTAAATACGACCCTACCGACGTGGGGAGAGGAAACTAGGATGACTCTGGTCCCTAACTTAGGCTAACGCCACCGCTTGAGATGCGCGGCACAGAAATAACTGGAAGAGAACGTGATGCCTTCTCTTTTGGATATACTGAGTGTGATGTACCTGGAAGTACCTGGATAGAGGGCTCAGCAAGCCATTAGATAATAATAGCAGAAACTCATGAAAGGGGATGAATTTACCCATGAGAAGGCATAGACTAAGAGGAGGGTAAAAACAGAACCTCAGCCAACTAGCCGAAAAGAAACCCTGAAGGAATGAGAAGAGAGGCAGGAGGAGAAGCAGGGACGATGCTGACAGCAAGCCAAGGCGGGACAGAGTCCACAGAAGAAGCGATGGCCGTCGGTGTCAGCGATGCCAAGGGGTCCCCTAACGCCAGGAATGAAGTCCATTCAACCGAGCAATTAGTTGGTTATGGATGGCCTTTTCTTGGGTAGTTTCCGGAGAAAAGGAAGGCAAGATGCTGTTTGCAGGAGGCTGAGGACTGTCTGCTAGATGCGGAGTTGGAGACACAAGTACGCGTTCCTCTCTTGGAAATTTGGATATACCATGGTGGGAAATGTGTATCTAGGAGGAGCTGGATCTCTTTTACAAACGGTATCTTTTTTAGAGAAGTGTAATTAACATAACTTTAAACCACATCATTTAAAGTGTACAATTTGGTGAGTTTGGGCCTATGTATACACCTGTGAAACCATCGCCATAATCACCACCCCCCAAAATACAGCAGGAAAGTACCTACAGGGCAGGACAAAAGTAAGTTGTTTGTATGGAGGGTAACACAGTAATAAACTGTGTTCTGCGTGCTCCCGCCCGCAGCCCGCGTCAGCCCGCCCTGTGTTTTGCTGGGCCGAAGGGAAGGAGCCGTGGGAAGAGAGGTTGGCTGTGCAGGAGAGGAGCCAGCAGAGCAGTGGCAGGGGGCAGGCGCGGCCCAAACTCTCCCCTCGCCTAGTCTTTCGAAGGCATTTTTCCCTTTTCCCTTTTCCATGGGATCGCCTGCATTACCGCTTAAGTTGTAATTTTGTTGTTTAATAAGTAACATCGAAACAAATGGTGAGTTTCTGTATAATACAATATTATTTACAGAAAAACAGTGTGGTCACAGGATTTAAGATGGAGGCTATTAACCGAAAACTCTGACATTTCCTACCACTTCGAAAGCCAGTTTGTATCTTCATGTGTCAATGTTTTAAAGTCTCTATCTACACTGTGTGCTTTCTCTTGCAGCCCAATTAAAGGATATTGCCTATGGCACCAAACAGTACAAATTTAAACCAGAAATCATGCCAGATGACTCCGTTGATGAATTTGATGAAACCATTCACTTAGAGCGAGGCGAAAACCTGCTTGACATCCACATCAACAAAGTAACCTTTTCTCCTGAGGTTCTGCAGGCGTCGGGGGATAAAGAGCCGGTCACGTTCTGTACCTATGCTTTCTATGATTTTGAACTGCAGACAACCCCCGTAGTGCGAGGCCTTCACCCGGAATACAACCTGACCTCGCGGTACCTTGTTCATGTCAATGACTTGTTTTTGCACTATATTCAGAGGAACACTGTCACTCTTGAGGTCCACCAAGCCTATGGACCAGATTATGAAACCATCGCAGTATGTCCATTGAGATTCCACGAAATTTTAGAAAAAAGCGGTCGAATATTTTGCACAGCAAGTTTGGTTGGTGAGTACAGTTTGATAAACTTAGGCTGTTTGAATCACCAGTTTGGTTCATATGCTAATTTGGTGTTCCAGGTTAGTGTCTTCCTTTCAACAGATCTGAAGTGTCCCTTTAGGGTAAGGACAGGCCCGCAGGTGTGTGGGCTATTGTCATTGTCTTGATGATGTCAGTACAGTGACTGCTAATTCTTTAAAAGCTTGTAAGTGCCAGTGTTTACTTACAATATTGATTTCCTTGTTTGGTTAAACATTAAATGGAGTACACTCATCAAATGATTTTTTAGGAGCGTATCTTGTTGTCACTGTTACTAAGTATTTGGAATATAGTGGTAAGTGGTAAATAAGTGCTGTAGAGAGAAAAGTCTTTGTGGGCCAAGAGGGAAAATAGGACCCTTATCACACAGCTCTTGCATAATCTGTGAAAAGCTGGTAATGAAAGTGTTGATAAGAAGTGGCTGTAAGTGTATGTGTGATTAACTCTTTCCTCAAGACTTGCTTAGCAGTTAAATGTAGAATAGTGAGGGAATAGAGGCGGCAAGAATTCCTGGCCTGAGCAACTAGGAGAAAGGGGAGGGGATTTACTGAGATGAGCCTGGGAAAGGAACAGCTATGAGGAAGAACATCAAGAACTGTGTCTGAGTAAGTTAAGATCGCCCTGCCTACTAGGCAGCAAAGTGGGGACGCCGCGCACGGGGTGGGAGACACTAGGCCGAGGGTCACGGACAGAGAGAGAGTAGCGGGAGTCATTAACATATAGAACATACGTGAAGCCTGGAGCCCAGATGATATCACATGGAGAGTGAGTGTACATAAAAAGAGGAGATGGTGAAGGACTGCGCCTTGGAAACACCAAAATTTAGGGGTGAGGACAAAGAGGAAGAGCCAGGGGTGGCCAGTGAGGGAAGAGGCAAACCCAGAGTCTCTAGCAACCTAGACACCGAGTGAAGAAACCCTTCAAGAAGGAAGGAAGGGAACTTCGGTTCCGGGGAGGGATTTTATTTTATTGAGCAATTGATTACATAGGTAATATATTCACATGATTCAAAAATCAAAAAGGCGCAAAAGTTTAGACCATAAAATGTCTGTCTCCGACCACTGTCCCCCAGAAACCTTGAGTCTTCTCACCAAAGGCTACAAACTCTTCCCCCCAGACTTTACTCATATATAAACACATATGTATTTGTTAATATTCTTATTTTAGGACAAGTTTTTAGATGATGGCAGATTTGAATCATGTTTGTATGTTGATGAGAATGATCTTTAGCAAGGAATAAATTGATAAAGTAGGAGAGAATAGGGGCAATATTTTTAATAATATGTTAAATTCAGGAAAATGTAAGTGTGGAATATTATCTATTCAACCATGATGTCCCCGTCCCTCCGGTAGGCACATGTCAGTGGAGACCACAGCCCGTGCCCGCAGGAAACTTGGAGTGAGGTGGGGAAGCAGCCGGGCACAGACACGCACGTCAGGCGCCCTAGGGAGGCCCGGCCTTCCTTTCTGTGAAGGAAGCACGGAGGCTCTTTGGCTCCAGGAGCCAGAGCGGAGATCCTTACGGAGGCGCGGAGAGGGAGAGCGGCCCGAGGTGAAAGGGACGCCGAGGGCGTGCGGGGCAAGGCCGCACGAGGGTGTGGTGCCCGTGGTGTGGTTTTGCCAGAGCCGGGGCGTTTTTCCGTCTACCTGTGATGCGGTGGGGTGGGAAGGTGCCGAGATCTCTTTAAGTGGATTCTAACGTGGAATATTATATTTATAAGTTTGAGGTTTCGTATTGTATCTGTCAGACTGCATTGAGTGCAACTTGGTTTTAAAAAAGTACTGCGAAATCAAAAAGAGTCTCTCGAGTATTTGATTCAATACTTAGATTTTTCTTTATATTTCAGAAGGATTGAAATAGTATACTTTGGAAGATCTCAAACATAGTTTGACAGTTCTTAAATAATATTTAACATACAGTACAACTCGTACTTGAAGAAGTAACTTCATTTTCTTCATCTCTGTTATTTGCCAATCACACATCATTTGTGCATGTCATATTATTTTACTCAGTATAAAATTTATAGTTTCAATGCATAGTACTATTGATGTGTTCTTTACTGGTATATATTTTGATTTATGGGACTGTTTTAACAGTGAGTTATATATTGATTTGTAGGAACTAAAGGAGACATCCCAAATTTTGGCACAGTGGAATACTGGTTCCAATTAAGAGTTCCTGTGGACCAAGCAATTCGGCTTTATCGAGAACGGGCAAAGGCTTTGGGATATATAACATCAAATTTTAAGGGGCCAGAGCAAACACAATGGGTAAGCTTGTTTGGCTTTAAGACTCTTTTAGGGCACAAAAATTTTTATCCTGTTCTTTATATGTCATGCTTTAAACTGAAATTATTTTCCTTCACAGCCATCGAGTGGCTTTTTCCAACTTTCTACTTTAAAAAAAATTATAGACTTGCAGGAAGTAGCAAAAGTAGTGCAGAGAAGTCCTGCGTACCCTTCACACAGCTTGTCCCGGTTGTAAGATCTTACACAGCTGTAGTACAATATCAAACCCATGAAATGGACCGGGGTACAATACTATTAACTAGGCTACAGATCTTGTGCAGATTATATCAGTTTTTACATGTGTGGCGGGGGGAGGAGGAGTTTGATGCAGTTTTATCGTGTGTATACACTCATGTAACTACCACCACAATCAAGATACAGAATTGCTGCATCGCCACAAAGAAGCCCATCCTTAACTACCCAGGCCACTTTTGAAAAATAGAATTACAATACGGTTATCACACATCAAGTGACTTTCGTTATACTCCCTACTGTTAAGGAAATACATAGCTATTATTGGACTATCAGTCGATCTTTCAAATTGTTTCCTTATGTTAGGTTTCTGAAATGCAAAGTAGAAGGCAAAATGAGTATTCTGACTGAGAATTGGAGGTTTAAATGAAATTCCTCAGGGTAGCATTTTCCAAACTGTGTTTCATGGAGTCTTAATGGCTGTATTTCCAAAAGAACGAATGCCATGATCCAATGATTTCAGTACAGAAAGCACTGAATTAAGCCAAGTTAAATAGAATCTTTGACTTCCGGACTGCTCGTGTATATCATGATTCTCAAGAGGAAGCATAAAGTATGCAGTTAGGGGGAGGGAGAGAACATCGCAGAAACAGTGCGGAATGTCCGCTCAATTCTTAACAACCGTTTTTTGTTTGGAACTGCCCTCACTCCCAATCCTTGGGCCTGGGCCCCTGGGGGCAAGCTTTATGCTTGATGACCCTGCTCTCTCCCACTCGCCACCCAGTTAGAACTAATGATTCAGTAAGATCCACCTGACCCCAGGTCAGCCAGAAAGATTCTGCATTTTGAGATCAAGAGAAAGCAAGACTCTCCATGCCTGGAACGTGCAAAATTAGGAGCCCCTACCATGTTGACCGGCAAAGGAAAGGAAGCGGATCTGGAGAGACACAAGAACGAGCAAGCGTGCAGAGAGAAACAGCAAGTGAGCAGAGAGTGAGCTCTGATGGCTTTACAGTCCTAGTGCCTTCCTGAGGCCCGACCACGTTGCTCCTCTAACAGTTCCATGGAGTAGCCCTGTCGCCGTATAGTAAAGCCTCTTTTTTGTCATGTTTCCTAGATGGAATTAGTTTCTGTAACTTTCAATTAAAGAACCATGACTAATATGACACTGATTCCCAAACTTAAGAAAGCACAGCGCCTCATTCCCAAAGATCATCTTTCTGGACTAGGATTCTTCAGAACACGCTTTGGGAAATGCTGTTGTGGAAAAGGGAACTAGAAACAGAAGGACCAGATTATTTATTTAGTTTTGTAGTTTCAAGTTTTTTTAGACTCCCAGTTTCTGGCTTGAATGAGTCATTTACTGTTGGAATTATGGCTTTTGTGGGTAGACTCGGGAAAGATGTGGAGGGGGTACTTTTCCTCCGACTCAGCCTCCCATAGCTGAGTGCCAACTGGCCCTGGGGAAGCAGCACTGTGCGTTCCTTCTCAGGTTTCCCCTCCACGCCACCTGAAGTCTCCACTCAAGAGATTGGGCCGATTCTATTGTTCCGTCTCCAGTAAGCTCCTCAGTCAGAGGCCCCAGGTGCTCAATCCAGATGCAGAAATGCAGTGAAAGCCGGTTGTGTTCTCCAACACTTCTAAAGCGAACAAAGCACTGGAACACTAACATCCTTTGTCCCAGCTCACCTCAGCAGGGGCGGGGTTAACCGTTAAGGCAGCACCAGCTGAGATGCCTGGGCACTGGCTACCTGAGCAAGAGGGCCCCAGAGGGGTTTGGAGCTCTGCCCAGTAAGTCCTTTTGCTCTTTTCTGAAACGGGCTCCCAGTCCTAGCTCTTTATTCTTTCCACGCTTCTCTCTGACTCTGTTCTCTTGTTCTTATGGCAGTTGCACACTGGCCAGGCTTGGCCTCTCCAGGCCCCATTGGTTCAAGATGAGGGTCAACCCAAAGAGAACACAGAGAACACAGTTCTCTGGGTGGGGCTGGTCACATTCATCAGATTCTCACTCAAGAATGGGATACAGCCACGTAGCTGGCATGGTGGAAGGCCTAGCTCTCAGTAAAGTTGTGAACTGGAGAATATTGGTCTTTGGAGCCATCCGCTCACTTTACCCGGGTGTTAAATAGAATTAAAGAACATCAGATTAACTTTCTCTTGGTTTTGTTTGGTTTTAACAGCAATCTTTACGTGTACGTTGAGTCTTCTATGTTTGTTGCTAATAGCGTAGGATCATCTGTTCTCACATGTTCCAGTGAATATTGGTTTTCAATAAGAATGAGGAGTGTTTAACTGAGAAATTCAGTATGAAGTAAAAATATGCAGGTTTTTGTCCGTTTACAAAATTATTTTATTTGGGGGTTGGCAGCTGCTATTTATCCTTATTTATTATTAATATAATATAACTATGTATGTTTCTCCAGTTAAGTCAACAAGCACCCAAAACTGCTCAGCTCAGTTCTGCTGATTGCGGAGATGGCAACTTAAATGAACTGCATATTACAGTGAGATGCTGTAACCACCTGCAATCCCGAGCAAGCGACCTTCAGCCGCACCCGTATGTTGTGTACAAGTTTTTTGATTTTGCAGACCATGACACAGCCATCATTCCCAGTAGCAACGATCCGCAGTTTGACGATCATATGTGTTTCCCAGTGCCAATGAATATGGACTTGGATCGATACCTTAAGTCAGAGTCTCTGAGTTTTTATGTATTTGATGATAGTGATATCCAGGAGAATATTTATATAGGAAAAGTCAACGTGCCTCTGATTTCATTGGCACATGACAGGTGTATCTCAGGTAAGCCTATTTTTTAATATGTGAAACTGTAAAAACCTAAATTATACGTTAATGTTATGGTTATGTTCTGTTTATAATTAATCTTCCTAGCCGTCTCAGATCATCGTACCTTTTGGCCTATAACATTATGTTTTTTGAGGGTTGTTTTTTTTTTGGTAGTTGTTCCAGGAATTACACTTACCTTAACACAATCCACTTAAAATTAATACCAACAATTCCATTAAAATATAGGGCTGTTCCAATATAACTTTATCTTGTCCCCTCCATGTTTGTTGCCATATATATGCATATAGTACGCCTGCATCTGTTAGAAACCCAACAATCTGGTGTTAGAATTATTGCTTCATATAACCTTATATCCTTTAAATAAATTAAGAGAAGGGAGGCTATACATAATTATAGGGGACTTTTTTACATTAACATGTATTTATCATCTCTGATATTCTTTATTTCTTCCTCTACTACCTGGTGTCCCTTCCCTACTCCAGTATAGCTTCATTTCTTCCCAGTTCTTTGTGCTATTATTTTCATATATTTTTGTCTTTATTTAAGTCCAACAATATAATTTTACAATTATTATTTTATGCTGTTGTCTTTTAAATCAATCAAGAGAAGAAATGAGGGAAAACATTTATTTATACTATCTTTTATAATTACCTATGTAATTCCCTTTATTGATCTATTCCGTTGTGTTGATTTGGGTTGCTGTATGGTGTCACTTCCTCCTAGTCTGAAGAACGTCCTGTAATATGCCTTATAAGTCAGGTCTGCTGGGAATGAGTTCTCGCAGTCATTTTTATCTGGGGATGACTTTATTTTGCTTTTACTTTTAGAAAGACAGTCTTGCTGGATACAGTATTGGTTGTCAGTTATTTTTATTTAAGCACTTTGAGTACATCAGACAACTGACTTCTGGTGTCCATTGTTTCTGATGAGAAGTCAATGTGTTAATGTTATGGTTCCCTGGTACTTGATGCTGTTATCAAGTTGTTGTTTTTTATTTTTATTTTTTTTAAGTTTTCGGCATTTCAGCTATGGTGTGTCTAAGCATGGATCCCTTTGTGCTTACCCTGCTTGGAATTTGTTGAGGCTTCTTTATGTGTAGGGTATTGTTCCGTACCAAATTTGGGGAGTTTTGGCCATTATTTCTGGAATTGTTTTTTGCCTTTCTTCCTCTTCTTGGAATCCCATTACATATATGTTCATATGTTTAATGGTGTCCCACGGGTCTCTGAGGCTCTGTTCATTTTTCTTCTCTTTTCCTCTTCAAATTGGATAATCTCTACTGGTCAATCTTCAAGTTCATCGATTCTTTCTTCTGCCAGGTCAAATCTCCTACTGAGCCCATCTATTGAATGTATTCATTTTAGTAATTGTACTTTTCAACTCTGGAATTTTTATGTAGGTCTTTTTTAAAAAATAATTTCATAAGTCATTGTAACCCTACTTTCCTTTATTTCTTTAAATATGGTTTCTTTTAGTTCTTGGAATGTATTTATAATAGCTGCTCTGAGGTCTTTGTCTGCTAAGCTAACACTCTCCTGGACACTCTCAGGAAATGTCTGTTGATGGCCTTTTTTTCTTGTGTGTACATCACACTCTCCAGTTTCTTTGTACTTCTCTCTCTTTTTCCTTAAAACTGGACATCGAGGGCACTATATTATAGCAACTCTGGATTCTAACTTCCCCACTCTGTGGGATGATTATTGTTGCTGTTTTTGTTTGGTGACTTGCTTAGACTAATTCTGTAAGCTTTTTCCCTCACTGTAGCCACTGGCATTTCTGCTAAGTTTTTGTTTGCTCCTGTTATCCTTATTTTAATTTAAAGCCTTGATCAGCATAGTTTAGTGGTCAGTTGCTGGATGGTCAAAGGTTGTGCTTAAACACCTTGGGCTGGCAGGCTCCCGCCCTTTCTCTGCGGGTCAGTGAATGGCTTGGATAATGTATTCAAAGTTCATAGTCCACAAGTCTCCCATACAAATAGCTTACTAGGGTCTGTTCTGATTCCTACTGTTCTTACTGAAGTTGAGTCGATTTCCTTGAATAAGTGCTTCTTAATTTTTTGTACACCTTTGATGAATTTCCAGAGGCCATAAATGGTTGTTTTTTTTTAATCATTTTGTCCAGCTTTATCATTGATTTTTAGCGAGAGGATTTCCTGAGCTCTTCACTCAGCCATTCTGGAAGTCTCACCTGCGTCTACCAGAGAAGTTTATCTCCTCCCTGTATTCTACCTGCATCCTTTTTTCTACATCAAGTCTAGAATGGTTTTGGTTTTTCCTTCCCAGCCAGCCATTAAAAGTCATGACATGCACTTGAAGACCAAGTAAAGGATACCTCTCAACAAAAGTTTTGCTTGAAATATAGGTTTGTTTTTTCCAAGTCAGGGATTTTTCATACTGAAAAATTTAGTATAATGATTAAAATTTGTGACTCAATATTACAGATATAGGTAGGTGATACAGTTTATTACTGCTTTGTGTTTTGGATGGTTTATCTTATGGACATATTTTTGCTGTGCTTCTATTAATTTGGAGTAATTTAACAGATCTTAATAAAATATTTAAAGTTAAAATAGAATTATATAGTAATATAAAGACTCCTTTAGATATATGAATTATTTAAAATTTTGAAGTTTTAATATATTTTTCTATAGAGACAAGTTTTTTGCAAGGATATTTAAATCAAAATGAAGGTTCATATTTGAGATATACCCCAGGTAATATCTTAGAGGAGTGCTAAGAATTTTGAATCTCTGAATTTCATTTCAGTGGATTAAAATATTTATAAGTTAATTTTCTCCACTTTGAATCAGTATTATCATTGAGGCCTTAACTTCTGAAAGCAGGATATTGGAGAGATGAAACCATCATACATCCTTTTGTCTTTATTTTATTTTTTAAATCATTTGAGTTATGAGTAAAAATCAGAATCATTTTTTAAGTTGTGATTCATTCTCTTTAATTACGCTGGTAATAAAACTTTATCCTAACATTAATTAAAAATATTTCCTGGTGATTTGATAGGAATATTTGAGTTGACAGATCATGAAAAGCACCCTGCAGGAACCATTCATGTTATACTGAAATGGAAGTCTGCTTACCTTCCACCAAGTAAATCCATAACTTCTGAAGACTTAGGAAGCGTCATACACAAAGAAGAGTCAGAAGTTGTTCAAAGATTACCTCCAGCTTCCTCTGTGAACGCATTAGTTGCAGTGAGTAACGGTGACTTTGGGTTTTTTATTAAACTTCATAGCCACAAAAGAGAGAAAAAAAATAACTAAAGCCTTATCTGAAATGGATGATCATCGTACTCAGTTTGCCCTATTGGTTTACCTTTAGGCACCAACACCTAAACCAAGACAGCGTTTCACAGCCGTTGGAAAGAAGGTGTCTTTCGTGGATGATATGACGCCACATCAGGATTCTGTAAGTACTCAGCACTCAAAACACTGATTTTTTTTTCCTATAACAAATATTGGAAATAAATGATAGAAGTGTGGTATACCCTACCTGATTTAAATGAAAATTGGGTGAATAAAATACTTCTTTATCCTTTGCACTGTTTGCTTTGTCACTTGGCCTCGTGTGTAAGTGTTAACTGTTCTTACTCTTTGACCTAAACGTTCTTTTGGCCCCTTATTGTTCTCCAGCTATCGCCCTAATCTTTTGCCCTCTGTTTACAACAAACAAAATGTCTTCAAAAATTGTTTTAATTTTGTCTTCCCTTTTTCATAGTATTTCTTGAACTCACTCAGTGTTTTGTGAACTCACTCTTGTCAGACCTCACCCTGATTGAAACCGCCATTGCCACGGCACAGCGACCTCTGCTTGGCCACCGCTGGCAGTCACCCAGCAGGCAGCTCCGCTCCCTGGGTTAATCGTCCAGCAGCGTTTCACACGGTGGCATACTGGCTCCCGCTTCTCTTGGCCTCTGGGTTTTTCTCCAAGTTTACCAGGCATTCTTCTCACTCTTCGAAACCATATCCCTGACATGTTGAAGAGCCTCAACAGTCAAACTTCAAACCTAGACCTCTTCTCAATCTATATTAACGTTAAGAGAACTTATCCAATCCCCTCGCTTTAAAAAGTGTCTATTTGCTGACACTCCCTTATTCATAATCTTCAGTCTTGATCTCACTGCCAAATTCCATATTTATTTTCTTACTGCTTATTTCATATACACTGAATGTCTAATAGGAATTTAAACTTAACATGTCAAGACCCAAACCTGATTTAACCAACCTCCTTTCAAAGTATTTTGCTTTCATTTTTTCCCATCTTCAGTTAATGACATAATCATTCACCAGTGGTGCAGTCACGAGATTTTGGAGGCAGCTCTTTGAATCCTTTTTCTCACATCTCACATCCAGTTCACCCACAAAACCTGTGAGCTCTACTTTCAACACATATCTTGTATTCCCATCATCTCCACCGTCACCACTCAGGTCACCAATAAGTCTTGTAGACGTTTTCAAAAAATACTTTCTTTGTAATGTAACTTCTATGTCATAAAGTACATATATCGTAAAACAGAGATCAATGAAATTTTATATATGTATAGATTTGTGTAACCACCACCCAGATTAAAATATTCCTTCTCCCTGGGACTTAAAATAATATCTGACATATATAGACTTTTAATGTATATGTTCTAAATAAATGGTTGCAATAATTATTATTCAGGCAACATTTTATAGTTAGCATTTACTGACCGCTAACAATGTGTCAGGCACTGACCTAATGCCTTATACTCATTGAACTCATTTAACTCTCACGACAACATTGTGTTTCCCATTTAAAGATCTTATACTAAAAGAAAGTCATGTCTACAGAGATTAAGCAACTTGCTCAAGGTCAAATATTAGATCTGAGATTCAAACACAAGTAGCCTGATGGCTAACTAAATGATCATCAATATAAAATAGATATATACATGGAGATTGTTTTTGGAACATTAGCCACAGCAGCTAAAAATCTAGTTAAATGTTCAACACTAGAAAAATGGTTCATTAAATCATGATCCATCTACTCAGTGTAATATTATGTTGTCACTGAGTTTATTTTCTCTTAAAAAAATGGTGATCCAAATCCTTGCGTGGTTGTTGTGAGGTTCAGTTAAGGTAATACATTGGAAAATACTTTATATACTAATCACTAAAGCTCAGTTTTTCTATCTGTAAAAGAGGTACTACCTAGAATATAATATGGTATCATGACAAAAACCAGTCAGCAAGTAATTAAAAATTCTGTGGCTCTTGATATTCTATACTTTAAAGGATTATTTTGACTCTATATTTCATTCCTCTAAATAAGTATTTTCAGGTTTGTTTGGGTCTTTTTGCTTTAAAAATAATGATGCTTACACAAAGTTTCATATCAACAGAAAATTTTATGTTATAATGTTGTTTTTTAATGTAAAAGGATATATTTACTATAGAATCATTATATAACCAAAATTTTTTATTTGCATTAAAAATCAATTATAAAGAAATAGAAGTCTAACTAGTTATAAATAGATATTGTCATTGAATAATGGGAATGTGGGTTTATATTCATTTATGTTTCTTTGTTTAACTTTCACATTTTCTATATTGGGCATGTTTCCTTTTAAAATAGCAAAATGATTAAACTATATTTTAACATAAACATCAGTTTATGAACCATAGAAAGCAGTTGACTATAAATTTGATAGGAAGCATGTACTTAATCTAGCATATACAATTTTTTAATTACACAAGTAATGTGTAATTATTTATAGATATATTAGAAAATGAAAATAAGTAAAATATATTCATGAAAACAGCAAAATTCAATTTTCCCAAATTTGTATATCAGAGATAAAATTTTGATGAATTTCCTTCTATACTTTTTCCTATGGAAATGTACACACACTTTTTTTTAACGAACAGTATACAACTATATAAATAGTTGGATAGCTAGCTTCTTTATGCAATGTATTGTACATTCTCTTCAGTGTCAGTATTACAAGTCTACATTATTAGGTCTTTCATAGTTACATAAAAGTCTGGTTGTAGCATACTTGATTTAAATAACACCTATTGGACATTTGCATTGTGTTCACTTTTTTGAGATTATAAGCAATGCTTCAGTGAAATACACTTGCAGTTCTTAAATTGCACTATTTCATTGTCCCATGGGTAGCTACTATATTTGCTCCTAGTGTTTATTTGTGTTATTATATATATATATATAACTTATATGCATATGTATATGTGAAAGTCTTAGGATGATTTGGGCTTTAGTAATAATCCAAAATAATATACATGCATGTTTTCACATTAATATAAGGAGACTTCTGCTGCTCCTGAGGATAGGAAGGGAATTTCACCGGAAGTGGAGCACACACCAGAAATAGATATTAGTGCACCAACTCTTTCGTGTATTTCCAAGGTATGTATTTGTATTAAAATTATTTAGAAAGGTTCAATTTCGTTCTTAAAGACTTTGTCTTTGTGTAGACATAGATCAGGAGATCATAGGATTGATCTTATTTTTGTATATGATTTCCTTGAAATAGAAAGAGCAAAAATATGGCAAGTATAACAGCTAAAATTATACTACATTTGATATTATGCTATATTAGCATATGTTAAAATTTATTCTACATTTTACATTCACATATGTATTTGACTGAGAATCGAACCTGCGACTCTTTGGTTTGGAGGCTGACACTCAGCCTATTGAGCCACACCAGCTAGGGCTCACATATGTATTTGATATTAAGCTAATACATGAATTAATGTAAAATTTATTTTGAAGTTAATGTATTTCCTATTCTTAGTTTATTACTAGATTTTCATTTATCTGTATGTTTTCATTTGTATTGTACAATTTAAGTGATCATTTTTGACTGAATCATAGGTATTGCCTGTCTGCATATTTACATCTCAGGTTTACGTGCTTTATTATTCAAGTACTTTAGCAAAAACACTACAAGTGTGATCTAGACAACAATAAAGTCCGTGTGCTCTCCTTCCTTCAGGTTTCTCAAGAAAGCGGCATGGATGGAATGAAAGCGGACACCGAGGAAATGCAGAGAGGGCGAAGCAACGATGTGTCTCTGCTGTCCCAGGGCCAGCTTGCGGAGCAAAGTGCGACTTCTTCTGAGGATGAGACAGAAATAACTGAGGAACTGGAGCCGGAAGGTGACTTCCTTTTTTAAATCGACACTATTTATTTAATTCTTAGCTTGGTTTAATAGTATGCCTCACAGAACACCTTCATCTGATCACGGTGCTCCTTCATGATGCCTATTTCTCACCTGAAGTGGTGGGTGTAGTTTGGTCCATTCAGCTGTGATCCGGTGGGATGAGTGGCTGCTGGTCTTCTCACCTCCACCTGGGGCGCCGCAGCGGAACACAGGCATCATTGCCGGCCATTCCTGATTTCTCTCTTAAGGGCCTTTAGACTCTCTTTGGGTTCAGTACGCTTATCAGGAGGACTTCAGTTTGTAAAAATTAAAACTAAGAACCCAGACCAAAAATGACAACTTAAAACCTGCTTTAACATATAAATGTGTAGGAAAGGGAAATTAATCTATGGTAACGGGAAGCATTTAAATTGTTGCCTGGAGCAGGACAAATGGGAAGAGAGGTGCAGAAGGGAAGAGATTACAGACAGGCATGAGGAAGTGTTTGGGGATGATGGGTGTTCACCATCTTAATTGTGGCGATGCTTTCATGGAATTATATATGTCAAAATACCAAATTGTGCATTTTAAATGGGCTTGATTTATTGGATGTCAACTTTACCACAATAAAGCTGTAAAAACTTTTAATAATGTTTATAGATAGTAAGAATAACTTGATTCTTATACAATATTATTGATTAGACTTTCCAAAAACATCTGTTACTCTGTCCTCTTTTAAAAATTATTTTTTAAGTTCAGAGTAGAACAAGCTACATTTTTTTTCCCCTTTGTTTCTACTAAAGCTAGATTTGGAATTTTTCAGTCATTTTTTTCCTCTTTTCTAAAATGTAATGTAAGTGTATGTATCTTTGCTGCTAGAAAAAGGTTCAGATATGATTATCATATTGTTCTTTTAAGGATATCCTTATAACGTATGCTATTTCTCTCCGTTTTACAAGGTGTAAATAGAACTGATTTACCAGATTTAAACCACTAAAATTTTATTTTTTAACAGATGAGGAAAACAGATCAGCTTCAGACAGTGATGAGTGCATTATTCCAGGTCCTATCTCCAAGCATATCAAGCAGGTCAGTAACTTGATACCAATTAGAAATCTTCTGAAATAAAGTTGCTCTTCATTCATAGTGTATCAGTATTCATAGGTGAACATCTTAAGTCAAAAATATTTCTGGAAGTAATTTAATACATTACCATAATCCTATTCAGGGAATCATCTAGTATAAGAAATTTTTGTTTACACTTTCATTATGTAAAGAGCTATAACATTGAAGCATTATTTTTGCCTACATGTTGAGAGTACCTGGCATTCAGTAGCTTCAAAAGGGACTTGGTAAAAACAGTTGACTTCCCTGACTTCTTTTTAGAACCATTGTACGAGGATGTATTAAATCAAATCTGAACTTTGAAGAGTTGGAAATATATGAGATGGCATTTAAAACTATAATCCCATGTAAATGTGAATTTATAGACTCTTCAGATCTAAATATGTCTACAGGTAAACTGTTAAAGTTGTTTTCTTTCTGCTCACAACAATTCTTCATTCATTAGCACCTGCTGCGTCAAATCAGCAGTCCCCAAAGAACTCACAGTCTGTAGAGGAAACAGAATTACAAGGCACAGTGGTCAGCAGTAGGAGTGTGGAGTGCAGGGTGCTGTGGGCGCACCCACGAGGGGCACCTAATTCCCTTGAGGGACCCTCACCGAGGCTTTTTCTGGAGGCTGTGAATCTGGAACCAAGTATTGTGGATGATTAGGAGGAGTTAGGGAAAGCCAAGGAGGGATCATTGGAGGCTAAGGACCAAAAGCGTGAGAATTTGAGAGAACGTGGTGCATGGCTTGTTCTGGGAATTCACTATGGCTTTACAGTGGGCTGAGCCTATGGGGCACACCCCAAGGGGCCCCAGAAGAACATACTGAAAATCCAGCCCGGTCCAGGGCATGGGGGCCTCTCCTTCGAGGAGGCTGAAGTCTCTCCTGGAATCCCAGGAGCAGCCAATGAGGATTTTTAAGGGAGGAAGAACACTCATTCTTTAAACAGATATTTAATGAGCATTTACTGTGTTCCAAGCCTTGTTCTCGACACTGGGGATATAGCAGTGAATAAGAGAAGTCAGTCTTTTGCTCTTGTGGAGTTTACATTCATGAATTGCATTTTAAAAGGTCGTGCTTTCAGGAGTGTAAAGAATAGATGAGAGGCACAGAGACCAGTTAAAAAGTTATTAGATTACCCTGCTCTGTTGTTATCCCCACTTTATAGGTTTTTAAATTGCTTTTACCCTAATAATATCACCAAATTGAGACTAGAGGTAGTGTTCTAGATAGTATCATTCATGCCAATTAAACTATGAATTTGAATTATCTTCTACACTATGTAAGCAATTTAAGATCATCCAGGGTTTTTTTTTTTCTTTTAATGTTACAGAATCTGACAGCTCGTAGTTATTTCTTAGAAATGCTGATCCTTAAAAGGAATCTAACAGATTTCCCAGGACTTAGACATATTACTTGGCTCTTCCTCTCTTCTTCATGTCTGTGATGTATAATTAATCATAGATTACTTCATTTTGTTTCATTTCATTTACAACATTTATGAGCTTCACTTTGTCAGAATGAAATGCTTGTCCCCTCCTTTCCTCTCCAAAGCGGCGTAATTTGTGTTAGCATCTTTTTTAACGGGCTACATAAAGTTTAGTGGCTGGATTAAATCCAGCCATTAACATAATGTGCTGCCCAGCGCGCCCGTCTCCCCGAGTTTGCAGGACATCAAAGTGCCGCGGCGTGCGCGGTGTAATTGGCCCTTGCTGGCTGTCAGCGCCCGTCAGCCTGCCGGCTGCGGCCTCTGCCGAGCGGCTCCTCGGCCTGATCATTAATTTCGGGGGGAGGTTCCGAGGCATGGAAAACTTCGGACATTTCTCCATGAATATTTCATTAATGTGAATAATCAGGAGTTAACATTATCAATTTGATGTATAATACAGTGACTAAAAGCCTTGTTTTAGGTCCTCAAAATAGACATCAAAACTGAAAATTTGCATCTGTAGGGGCGTTAAAAAAATTAACAATCCTGTTGGGTTATTTCTAATTCTGTCATTTAAGCAATGCAGCTTTTAGTTGTCACGACTAAACGCATTGCCAGTTCGCAGATCTCTTAAAGTGGGCCCACAGGTGAGCTCGGGAATACACGGCTGAAGGACCAGCGGCCTCTTTGTGCAGCCTGTGTTGACGTAGTTCTCGTTTCCGTTGCTGCTAATGCCAGTTTTGTAAAAGCTGCCGTGCACAACTGGACTAAATTGCAGTTCCACCTGGACAGCAGGCTCTATGGAACAGTGTGCGGTGCCATTTCCAGGCGATGGCAACAGTGGTGTTTGGCAAAATGCATTTTAAAGCTTTGAAAAGCAAAATGCATATAGTCACGCACTACTTAGAGAACGCATGTATTAATAATTACTAAATCCTTTCAGAATCAAATGTGATATCCTACTGGTGGGTAAAACAAGTCCCTCCCAATGCCTTATATATCTTAAGCTCGATAAAGTAAGTTTCGAAACACATTTCAAGTAAACCAAGAAGTGTCCAATTACTTTCCCGACAGAAATCACTTTTAAAACTACTTCTTATGTTTTTCAGTTTTTTTATCTTTTACTAATATACCACAGACTTCTCTCCATAGCAGTATACTCTATTTCATCTAACATATGTATAATATTCTATTGTATAGCTACAACACAGTTATCCAAATAAGCCTTGTTTGATGGTCCCTTAGGTTTCTATCAGTTTTTGCAAATACAAACACCTCTGGTCAAAATGTTGCTTATAGGTAACGTTTCTATACATAGCAATGTATGAAAACTCCTGTTTCCTCACATCATGCCCTCTGCCACATTAATGGGTAAGAAATTATACCTCACTGATGATTCCTTTTAAAAAGAAGGAAACAAAAAGGTATGTTCATACGCATACATATATAGGATTATATGACCACGAAGATATAACATTTAGGTTCACAAGTATGTAAGCAAAGAAGGTGCCTGGAAGTATATCATTTGAACACTGTGAGCATCAAGTATCTCTGGGATACGGGTCAGGGCAGAGGTCAGCCAGCGATGGCCCATGTGCCAAATCCAGCTCCGTACCCGTTTTTGTCAATAAAGTTTTATTGGAACATGGCCGCCCTCACCATTCACACACTGCCTGCAGCTGCTGCTGCTCCACCGCAGCAGAGCCACGCGCTGTCTGGCCCTGCACAGGGAAGCTTGGCCAACCCGGAGTCGGGGAGTGGGAGGAAGCAAGGGACTTCTGTATTTTACTTCTGGGGGTTTATATTGTTGGGTTCTTTTTAATGACGAGTGTAGGTTGCTTCTAAAAAGGGCATAATTTGTTAGCCTATTCTGTACTAAAATGTTAAAGAACAACTAAAGAACAGTTTAATATGCATATTATAGGAGTTTCTCTATAAATATCTCAGAAGGGGTCAACAAACATAGGTTGGATCTTTTTCGGTTTCGGGCAGCGGTTCTGGAAGTGTGGTCCCCGAAGTGTGGTTCCCAGGCCAGGCGACAGACCTCACCTGAGGATGTGTGAGAGTTACCGAGTCTTGGGCCCGCCCCAGGCCTTACGCATCAGGCACTCTGAACCCCGGGCCAGCAACCTGGGTGCGTTCCAGCCTTTCCGTGCCTTCTGGGGGACAGAGAGGTTGGAGAGCCGCAGCTTGAGGGGAGAGCGCACTTCTCCTGGTGGCTGCACTAGAATGACCCAGGGAGCACTTTTAAGTGCCAGGCCCTGTCCCCACCACATCAGTTAGATCAGGATTCTGCCTAGAGCTCCCCAGGTGACACTAACGTGCAGCCAAAGCTGAGAGCCACCATCCTGGGACATCTGCTCCCAGTGATGGTGGAAGTGGAACAGCATAGCACAATCACCTGAAATAGAGGATCATTTTTACAATTCTCTCCTTCCCTCACACTATACTACCACAGTAAGCCACAGCTAATGATGGAAATGTGCCCTATCCCTCAGGTATATTAGGGTGGGATGCCGGCCATTGCTTTAGAATGTGGTAACAAGCTTCTGTAATTTGCCGGCCATTAGAGATGCAGTGATTCGCATGGTGTGTAAGGGAGACAGCGACACTCTCCCCAAAATGAGCACTTTTGCCCTGGCTGGGTAGCTCAGTTGGTTACAGCACTGTCCCAATACACCAAGGTTACAGGTTGGATCCCCAGTCAGAGCACATGTAAGAATCAACCAATGAGTGCTTAAGTAGTGGAACAACAAACTGATCTCTCTCTTTCTCTCTGTCCCTTCCTCTCTCTAAAATCAATAAAAGGAAAAGAGCCAAGCATTCTTAATCCTAGCACCATTTTGATCTCCATCACCGGTGTTTTCAGTACTTATATTTGTTCAATGTAGTACCTTTTAACAGAACATACGAGAAAAGATAGGTTATTGCCACCGATGAAAACTGGGTTTGCTTTGTTTTATTCGCGAAGACATTATTACCTCAACAGTTGGCATTTCTAGTTGGTCTTATTTCTCCCAAAGAGCTGCTATTTTGAGAAGACTCTTTTCAATCAAAACTTACCTGAAGAGTGAATGTGATTCCTATACGAGGAAGCTTTGGAGCCTAGCTTGAGGTCCAAGGGACTTTTTCCTTTTTTTCTTTCTTTTTTTTTTTTTTTTTTTTTTTTTAGTCTCAGTGGTGCCTCTTCCCACTCCCAGCCTGCAATGAAGTCCTGCTTGGACTCATCAGTATACATCCCTGCCCCGCTTGCCTGTGGCTCTGTCAGTGCCTGCAGTGGGTTTGGTCTTGTCTTAGAACTCACCATAGTTAAAAGTTTGCTCTTAGCGGGCATAGACATCAAGCATCACCTGCCATTTCCACATTGTCTCTACTGTTCTGTTAAAAAATACCAGTTCCGCATACTGCCGCACCTGTAGGTAGGCTTTATTTGTACTTTCTTACATGCATGTATACATATATAAAACATGTGTATGGTGATAAAAATAGTACTCATGTAACCATTTGGGGAATGATTTGATAATCCTATAAAATTGAATCTCCTACCTA